AATGAATTTTATGCTTGCATTTTATCACAACTTTCCATTTTAACGCTAAGGCAAAGACTAAACAGTAATAAGAAACTATAAACACGCATAGATCTAATTAATAAGCTTTGTTTACTATAACATTTCCCGCCCCGCCCAGTCTTTTACAACGGCTGATAAGCGAGCCGCACAGATCTCGGGACTGACTCTGCTGTCTTCCATATACTGTGGTACAAGCCCAACTTTGTGGGCCTCAATGTCTACAAAAATTCGCGTATTATCCCCGGCGGCACCGTGCAGCGGTGGGGAGCATGATGTTGTATCGGCAATGTGTGACGTATATGAAGCGCAAATTTCGGGGCTTACTATTTCCCTATTATGCGGTCGAGCAATGATTTAAGCGTTGGAAGTTGGAAGGGGTGCGCGCTAAATTTTAAGGAAATATTTTAAACTTTGATGGTTATTCGATGTTTTGATACTTTTAATGACTGGAAATTAGTTTAAAAACGTTTTATATTTAAAAAATTAATGTATCTATCATTTCAAATTATATTATAATTTTAACATGTGAGGCCCGGTCTCAGTTGCTTTGTACGACGAGCCGCCACTGATATCGATAATCTTGCATCTGAAGGCAAGAACGGAATGTCAGTTAACCTTTTTCATACAAGGTATTAATTTAATGTGCTAGCGCCATTATAAATAACTCTTAAAATTGAAGCTCATTTAAAAGTAACCAATTACAAATGGAGCCGAACTTTCTTAAAGGCCTAGATTTCCGATATAGAAGGTTTTTGTCTTTTTCTCTGTTTCAATGGGAATTAAAATTAAAACCTTTGGACGACAGAATAATATAAAATAATGCTTATTATGGAAAAAGTGGAAAAAAACATGGATAATTTTTCAGATTCATTATAACTTTATGCTTCCCTTCGAAAATATTCCCGACGATTTAGTTCCTTTAACAGCTCATTTCAAACAACTGTTAACAATGTCCACAAAGGAACAACCTTTGTTATTATTTCTGGATTCCGTCGATCAGTTAACTGGAACACAAGACGCCAACAAGGTTTCCTGGATACCGACTAGGCTACCACAGCATTGCAAGGTAAAAAAAAAATTTTGTGTTCAGAGAGAAAGTACTGCTTCTATACCTTAGAAGTTAGTTAAAGATGTGTTGTGGATGAAAAAGATGGAAACGATTAAAATAAGCTATGCTTAATATCTTTTTAAATTTGTAGATCATTGTTTCTTGTGCTCAAGAAGAAAACAACCCAGAAGTTTCCAGAGAATACCATATTTTAAGAAGGATGATAGACGTCGAGGATCAATTTATTGAAGTCAATGCTTTGGGAGAAGAATTAGCAATGAAAGTTATTAAGTAAGTAATAATACACGGAGTAGAATAATGTGGTGTGTTGAAAATATCGGAAATTTTCGTTTTTTGAAACAAATATTTATTTATTCGTCTACATTAATGTTGTCGCCTTCAAAATAGTCCCCATTGGATATTATGCACATGTGCCAGCTCTTCTTCCAATAGGTACTCGAAACACTTCTAAAACTCGATCTTTGGGATAGACTTTGTTTCTTTCAGCGATGCGCTTTTAATGTCATCTATGCTTGCAAAACGACGGCCCTTTAAGGTTCTCTTTATTTTTGGGAATAGGAAAAAGTCAGACAGAGGCAGGTCTGGCGAATATGAAGGCTGGGGCATCATTACAGTATTGTTTTTGGCCAAAAATGTTGTTCAAAATTTAACAATTTTGGAACAAATTTTGCGCGTTTCATACCCAAAACATTAGCAGTATGCACTGACATTCCAATGCGAATATCTTTTGATTGGTTAGAGTAATCAATAAATCCTAAGAGACCTTTTTTGTAGAGCGTTTAATTTCCGATAGACATAGTTAAATCTCAATTGTCGATAATTTTATTTCAGTAAGTTACAAAATTCAGAACAGAAAAGTTATCTTTCTTAAAATTCTTCAATCTTTGACCTTGAATATCTCTTTAATAGTTAGATTGATCAAAAAAGTATAAAAAATCTTTTTTGTAGAACATTTAATTTTCTACAAATAGCTCCTTTAGAGTTTTGCTGTATGATTAACGAATGATGAGATATGAATTTTTTTGTAGGGGACTAAGAAAAATATGCAAAACTGTAATGAGGCGGATCTTCCCATCAAAGTTAAGAGCTCATCGTTGCTAAGCATGTTTTGAAGGTGCCCAGAAACCGATTTTTCAGTGGCAGAAGTCAAAATAAGAATAGTCGGTTTTTTTGACCCACCCTAATATATATGCATATAAAATATAACCATGGTTCCATTTGAAAAACCAAAGTTGATATCTCTTACGGTTTAACCGGAAGTGATAACGCATTGAAAATAATTTAAGAAAATAGTTTACATTGGCTTATACTTGCTATACAAATATTAAATCGTCATCTTTTTCCGTTCTTCATCAACTTCTAATGAATAAGTTAGGTGAATCACCCTGTATCCCTGATAGCAAAATTTGATTTTAAGAATCTTCTAAGAAGATATGACCCGGAATAATGGAATATTCTTAGAACCATCCCTTATTGCTAAAAATGTTCCTAGAGAGTCTCTAGTAGAGACTTTTAAAACATAGGTACCTTTTTAATGATGCAATTAGATTCTTAAAAGCTTCTTAAAACCTTCCTAAAAAGCATCCTAAGAACATTTTAAGAATACGTTTTTGGAATGTTCTTAGAAGGTTTCTAATGGAGTTTCTAGGAAGCTTTTGAGAATATTTCCAAATATGTTGTATTCTACATTCGTAAAATTCTTCAGGAGACGACAAATACGCCTCAATGTCATAATATGACAGTGAAATGTATTTGTCGTCCCCTTAAAAAATTTTGCGACATATTAATATATATTTATTTAAAAATATTAAATAACAATTTGACCTCTAAACCATAAGTTCTATGACATTATTTCATAAAAAGTAAAATTGGAAAATTTTGTGGGATAAGTCAGATTAGATTGAAGTTGAAGATAGTTAGGATTATTATACATAAAAATGTTAATTCAGAAATAAAAAATCGGTATACCTATAAATTAATAAATATTTATTTTTAACATAAAATAAAATACCTAAAGTAAAAGTATTTTTTTATAGAATATTGTTTTAATTTGACAAATAACTATAAAAAAATATTTTGGATTGTGTTTTTTACTTAGTATTTAATACTAATTACTAATTAGGTACTTAAGTATAGGTATATACCTTTATACGTAGTTTATGGTATATTTTACTATTATATATGTAACTGAACTAAATATGCTTACCAGGAATATTCCTAAACAGTGGCGTATTTAGGGGGGGGTCCGCCGGGTCCGGACCCCCCCCGGGCGCACATATTTTATTATTTTTATTACAAAAAAAGTTCCTTTTATTTACTATTTTATCGGATCAGAAGAGTTCCTAATTTGTGATTTTTTAGTTATTAAAGCATAGCATATGCTATATAGTATAGTATTTAGGATTTAGCTCCGGGGGGAGGGGGTCCAAAAAAACTAACTAAATATGTATATATATTTAGTTAGTTTTTTTGGACCCCCCCCCCGGAGCTAAATCCTAAATACGCCACTGTTCCTAAATGAACTTTCTATAGCAATTACTTTCTTAACATTTTAAGCATATGTTTAGAGTAGACTAATTTTTACCACTAAAACTTTGCACCTTCTAAGAACCTGCCTATAGGCCAGTAAGAATATTCTTAGGATCATGCTATATGTCTTTTAAGCATGTTCTTTAGAAGAAATATAGCATGATTAGTGTTGCAAACAAGGAAAAGTTCGGTCGAAAAGTTGGAAAAGTTGTTGGAAAAGTTGGAAAAGTTCGGCACCCCCTATGAAAAGTTGGAAAAGTTATTAGGTGGGAGCTAATGAATAATGAGTTGACTTCTAACCAGTGTTTCCACTACCATAAATTTTTTTTGGTAGATAATTTGGTCAAAATTCGATATAAATCGCTAGATTTGAAGTGTTTTTAGTAAAACATGCTAAAAGCATTGTTTTTTGGAATAACATTTTGTCAAACTTTATCAAAAATGGTGTCTGCTAACAGCATTTTCTATTATATAAAGATTCTTTCATTATAACGTATTTTAAATTTATACACAGTATGAAAAAAATATTATTTTTTTTAATTATGGAAATTTGCAAGTGAAAATATAAAAGTGGAAAAGAAGAAAGTTTTCTTTTCTTTTTCTTTTTAAATTTTTACTTGTAAATTTCCATAATTTTTAACAACAATAAATTTAATAATTTTTGCTTCATATTTTTTTGCTTCATATTTTTTATTTTGTATGTGTTTTTTTTATGGTGTGTATAAATTTCTATTCCTTTTTACTTAAAAAATATGTTTTTTTAAATTCAAACCTAGTTTATTTTTGTTGTTATTATGTTGTCTGTTCATTTTATTTTGTTTGATATTTTTTTTGTTATTTTGTTACGTATGTATAAATACATAAGAAATAAATTATTTTATCTACTCCTACATTGACGAGCTGTGACTTTATGGCGTTTTAGTCACGGGCTGAAGTTAGTAATAGTGGCTTTTGGGCATTTTAGTCACGGGCTGAAGTTAGCTTTATTTTAAATTAGAGAAAAGTGAGGTTAATTCCATTGACATTTGACAGATGTCAAATGTTCAACAAATAAAATTAGATTTAAATTCTTCTTTGTGGTCGTTGTAGATAAAGTATAGTATGCAACTCGTTTTATAAACTTATCTAGACACTCGTTTTTATTAAACACTCGCTTGCAAGCTTCGCTTGTGCTTAATAAAACTCGTAACTAAAATGGCGTTTATAAAACTTGATACATAATATACTATTAATACATTGACAAGCATTATTTATGTTTTATACGTTTACATTACAAAAAAATCAACTTTTCCATCTTTTCCAACTTTTCCGAACTTTTCCGAAAAATAAAACCCAACTTTTCAAAAATTTCAACTTTTCATGAAAAGTTGCAACCCTAAGCATGATCCTAAGAATATTCTCACTGGAAGATTTAAAAAACATTCTTAGAATAAAGTGTGCTATCAGGGATAAGGCTCCAAATGGATGCATACGATATATCGTAAATATGAAAATTTTATCTAACAAACTTTAATATGGTAAAAAAAAATATATTACCTTGCCGGCCAAAGCAAAAACATCTTTCAGATCACAGATAGCGTAACGCCATAGAAATAACACAGTGTTATTTCTATGCGTAACGCAGAATATGACAAAACATATAGAAGTCCTTGTCGAAAGACAGTAGATGGTACCAATTACTTTCGTCTCACCGCAGTAAATAATTATAATACCTATATAAGGGCAAATATTCACAATACATACAGGAACTCGATACTGATGCATCAGTATCGAGTTCCTGTATGTATTCTGAATATTTGCTCATGAGCTCCAATAGAGCGAAATAGCTATCTACCGATGTTGGTGAGGAACACGAACGAAATTAAACAAAAGTAAAAACGAAATAATTACTAATTAAATTCTTAAAAATGTTAACCACAATAATAATAATAATATAAGTATCATAACATTTGAAAAATATTTAGGATGTGGATGAACACGGCCTGTCGCGATTTGACCAACTACCAATGGCGATTGGTATCGAACGCCATAGACAAGTGCAGCCTGCCGATTTTCGTGAAACTAGTTTTCGCCGAGATCTGCAGATGGCGCAGTTACACCAAGTCGTCAGATACGACTTTGACGCACACTGTGATGGATTCGATCATGATGCTGTTCGAAATTGTCGAGAAAAAGGTAAACTGTAGATAAGTTCATACCTCACAATTGCTCCATTTTTTGAACAATTTGAACTCAAAAGAAGCAAAAAAACGTTTTGTTACATCAGGAAATATTTTTCCTCTACAAAACATATTAGTTCATCTAAAAGTGCTACTCTTCCTCTTCAAAATCCTTTTTAAACTTTCTTCTCGTAGAATGCTTCCTATTGTCAGGTGTTTCGTCCGCCAGGTATGCTGTCACTTATCACTTCACACTCTATTACTTCCGTGACCGTAAGGTAGCCTTAAATTCACTGTAGGACCTACAGTGTAGGTACAATGCATTATAGTTTATTTGCACTGTACACTGTTCAAAATTTCATGACCATTTTATCAACAAATTAACACCATACATGGTCTATATCGACACAAACCAAAATGGTGTTAAATATGGTTCGTTGGTCCAGTGTAAATTCAAATACTAAAATGGTGTAAATTTAACTTTCACACAGTATTAAAATAAATTTTACCTAGTGTAAATTGAACTCCTTTTCAGTGTTAAATATAATTGGTTTTTTTGGTCAAATTAAATCACACTACACAGAAAAAAGGAAAAAGAGGAAACAGGAAGTTCCTTGAGGCATTACAAGTATATTACCAGTGGTATTATTTCAGAAAATTGAACCTTCAACTCGCTAGAGATAATGTTTTTAGTGCGTTCCACCAACTTAAAATACTTCAAATATTAACAGCTGTTTCCACCTATTTAAGGTATGTTTGGTATCGAACAACTTGTAGTGTCACACCAAAGCAAAGGACTACCTGAGCTTATATACTCTTCATGTAAGTCAACAGAGGCGAGATTTAAGAACATCACGTGATCCACACCGCCTTTGCCGCGATCGGTACACACTGTCCAACAAGGAATGCACGGCAAATTGTTTTAATCGTTTTAACAGTTACAAACAACATATTTAGTAAACTGAACCATACAGCGGGTTGGTTTCATTAAAGTTTTCTGGGTTAATTTAACCAATTTAAAAAAAATAAAATAACTATCTGGTTTAGTACCGTCAAACTAATCTTTGTTTATATTAACCTTCCCACAGTTGATTTAAATAAATACTTATGGGTCAACTAAATTAATATAGTTAAATGAACTATTCCTTAAGAAAAAAATTTTTTTCTGTGTAGGTGCACTTTTTGTGTTTGCTGCATGTATAAAACATTTTCAACCATAATTCATGGTGTTATATTAACACCACTTGGTGTTGGATTTTGACACCATTTTAAGATTACTCTTCACACCACAGATATTTTAAACAGTGTAGGAGTAGTTCATTAAGGGATGTAAAATTTTGATTTCAAGCGAGGTCTCGGTTACTATGCCTTACCTCGTCAAGAGTTCGAACGTGACTGATGTTACACACATTCAATCCAAATACAAAAATAAAAACAAATAAACTTTAATCTAAGCTTGAGTAATGTTAAATTTACAATATAAATACTAGTATAATATAGTATAGTTATAATTATTATTTCAGCACGGTCGAATTTTGGTTTTTCACGCGCTGGCCTACATTACGGCCGCCAAAAGCGGTCTCAGCGAGTCTGAACTGGAGGACCTGATCTCGCTCGATGACAAGGTACTGGACGATGTGTACCAGTACCATTTGCCTCCAGTAAGAAGAATCCCGCCGCTGTTGTGGACGAGAATCAGAAACGATCTGCCCAACTATTTGTCGGAAAGAGAGGCCGATGGAGTAAGCGTCATGAATTGGTACCATAGGTAAGTTTTTTTTTAATATTCAGCAGTGGCGGATTTACCAGCAGGCTGAGTAGGCTCGAGCCTAGGGCGGCAGATTTTGGGGGCGGCAAATTTGGGGAACGATTTTTTTTTACCTCATAGAAATCAAAAAGATTTTTCTATGACGGTTTTCTGATGTCTTACAGATAGAAGTCTGCAACAAATTTTGTCGATGACTTTTCTCTCTCACTTGTCATTGCACATTCCGAGAGTAGCAAACTTTCATATTCCAGAGTAAAACAGCTAGTTCGCCGCCCCTCAACCAGTAATCGGCCTCTCGCCTCTGCGCCCTTTGCCCACACTTCTTATGAGTGAAAAGAGCGAAATTGTGAAAAATATGACTGAGTCGATTATTTTTAACTGTTTGAAAGCGCAATAAAGATTATTTATTCACGTTTACCAAATGTTCATTATTGTGTAAATAGCATACATTACCCCGCCCATACATGATTGAGCTTCGATTAGCTCAAAAATATACCGAAAAATTTTTTTACGTGCAATTTCAACGAAATTGTTGCATTGTAAAAATAATGTATGATATGACAATTGTTGAGGCAAGGGCGGCAAAAACTATTCAGCCTATACCTTGAAAATGTGTAAATACGCCACTGATATTCAGTGTGAAGTTTGCTGCACGAGCAGTTCGAGTGCCTTTAAAGAACGCCGCCTTTCGCCATGAAATGTGTACACTGTTTTTCATGACAAGCGCAACGGAAAATTGACTTTCGCTGCCTTTTGAGGGATAGTGAGAAAAAATCGTTAACGCGTTTGAGCGGAGCATAGTGAAAACTCACAAACAAAAATTCAGAGTATCCCTGATAGCAAAATTTGATTTTAAGAATCTTCTAAGAAGATATGTCCCGAAATAATGGAATATTCTTAGAAGCTTCCCTTATTGCTAAGAATGTTCTTAGGGACTTTTAAAACATTTAATAGATATCCTTTTAATGATGCAATTAGATTCTTAAAAGCTTCTTAAAACCTTCTTAAAAAGCATCCCAAGAACATTTTAAGAATACGTTTTTGGAATGTTCTTAGAATGTTTCTTTTGAAGCTTCTAGGAAGCTTTTGAGAATATTCCCAAATATGTCAGATACCCACGTTCTAATATGTTGTATTCTACATTCGTAAAATTCTTTAGGAGACGACAAATTCGCTTCACTGTCATAATATGACAGTGAAATGTATTTGTCGTTCCCTTAAAAATTTTGCGACATATTAATATTATATATATTTATTCAAAAATATTAAATAAACAATTTACCTCTAAACCATAAGTTGTATGACATTATTTCATAAAAAGTAAAATTGGAAAATTATGTGGGATAAGTAAGATTAGATTGAAGTTGGAGATAGTTAGGATTAATACATAAAAATGTTAATTCAGAAATAAAAAATCGGTATACAAATTAATAAATATTTATTTTTAACATAAAATAAAATATAAAAAAACAAAATATTTCCTTATAAAATAATTCTTCATAAAAGAAAAAACCAAATAGTTCTTCAGAAAAAAAACATTTTTCATTGTATTTAAGTTGGATAGAAGATTTTATGTAAAAGCCGGATAATTTAGATACCTATAGTAAAAGTATTTTTGTTATCGAATATTGTTTTAATTTGACAAATAACTATAAAAAAATATTTTGGGTGATGTTTTTTACTTAGTATTTAATACTAAGTATAGGTACCTTTATACCCCTGATAGCACAGTTTATTCTAAGAATGTTTTTTAAACCTTCCAGTGAGAATATTCTTAGGATCATGCTATATTACTTCTAGGCATGTTCTAAGAATGTTTTTTAAACCTTCCAGTGAGAATATTCTTAGGATCATCCTATATTTCTTCTAAAGAAAATGCTTAAAAGAAATATAGCATAATCCTAAGAATATTCTCACTGGCCTCTAGGCAGGTTCTTAGAAGGTGCAAAGTTTAGTGGTAAAAATTAATCCACTCTAAACATATGCTTAGAATGTTGAGAAAGTAATTAGTATTAAATACTAAGTAAACAACCCAAAATATTTTTTATAGTTATTTATCAAATTAAAACAATATTAGATAACAAAAATACTTTTACTATATATAGGTATTTTATTTTATGTTAAAAATAAATATTTATTAATTTGTATACCGATTTTTTATTTCTGAATTAACATTTTTATGTATAATAATCCTACTATCTTCAACTTCAATCTAATCTGATAAAATTTTCCAATTTTACTTTTTATGAAATAATGTCATACAACTTATGGTTCAGAGGTCAAATTGTTTATTTAATATTTTTAAATAAATATATATTAATATGTCGCAAATTTTTTTAAGGGGACGACAAATACATTTCACTGTCATATTATGACAGTGAGGCGTATTTGTCGCCTCCTGAAGAATTTTACGAATGTAGAATCCAAGAACGTGGGTATCTGACATATTTGGAAATATTCTCAAAAGCTTCCTAGAAGCTCCATAAGAAACCTTCTAAGAAAATTCCAAAAACGTATTCTTAAAATGTTCTTAGATTGGTTTTTAGGAAGGTTTTAAGAAGCTTCTAAGAATCTACTTGCATCATTAAAAGGGTATCTATTGAATGTTTTAAAATTCCCTAAGAACATTCTTAGCAATAAGGGAAGGTTCTAAGAATATTCCATTATTCCGAGTCGTATCTTCTTAGAAGATTCTTAGAATCAAATTTTGCTATCAGGGACGTAGATATGGTATATTTTACTTTATGTAGGTACCTAACTGAACTGAATATGCTTAGCAGAATGTTCCAGGAATATTTCTAAATTAACTTTCTATAGCAATTACTTTCTCAACATTCTAAGCATATGTTTAGAGTGGATTAATTTTTACCACTAAACTTTGCACCTTCTAAGAACCTGCCTATAGGCCAGTGAGAATATTCTTAGGATTATGCTATATTTCTTTTAAGCTTGATCTTTGGAAGAAATATAGCATGATCCTAAGAATATTCTCACTGGAAGGTTTAAAAAACATTCTTAGAACATGACTAGAAGAAATATAGCATGATCCTAAGAATATTCCCACTGGAAGGTTTAAAAAACATTCTTAGAATAAACTGTGCTATCAGGGTTTCTGGTGGTTTTAATTGTCTTTAGGATATCCTAAAGACAATTAAAACCGCCAGAAACCCGCTATTTTTGCATCGCTTAAAAGGCAGCGAAAGTCGAATTTTCACTGCGCTTGTCATGAAAAACGACTTATTTTTTAAAACCTATTTCAGGCAGTTTAGAGATACAGCAAAAGAAAGATACTTTAAGAACATGAACATGGCAATGTATTTTCATTCGATGATAGCAGATTATTTCTTGGGAATATGGGGTGGAGGAAAACCCAAGCCCTTCAAATACACCGAAATTCAAAGACATAGGTAACCCAAAATGTTGATTTTGCAGCTTTGTTTCAACAATAGGGGTCAAAGTCTGGAACAAAGCTAATACAATTATTGTTAGAACTATTGTGTATATATTTAAAAAATGTATTTTTTAGGTTTAACCTGACAGATAAAGAAGGAATTGCAGACAGAAAAGTTCCCCTCCAACCTCTTGTTTTCTGTTCCAAAGATGGAAAAATTTCCCGATACAATTTAAGAAAGGTAGGTATTTATTTGGTGTACATACAACTAAAAAAATATATTTTAAATATTCAAAAATACAAGGAATGACCTCGGGATTGACATCTACTATAGAAAATTTGTTTTACCAACTGCATAGCGTTTATCGAAAAGGAACCAAGAGCCAAAAACTTTTTCTGGGGTAAACAAAATTATTTTCAAAATAACCCATTTTTAATGATGCTCAAAAAATTAATAACGATTTGGGAACCCTTTAAATCCTTTTGAGAAAAGTTCCAAATGATGATCAACCTTTTGAGCATTATTAAAAATGAGTTATTTTACAAATAATGTTACTAAGCTCAAAAAAGTTTTTGGCGCTTGGTTCTGGTCAATCGGGGTTAAATCTTTGGAGGCCACTCCTTTTATCACAGATTCTCCAATAGCATGTATGTTGTCCACTTGCTCTTTGCGTGTAGTGGTGATTTGGTAAAATGAATGTAGGTACTATAAAAGCAAATTAAAAACTTTAACTGAAAACTTTTGTTTGGCAAGCAAGACAAAACTTTTAGAAACAATCCGTTATGCCCATAACTGACTCATTTATAGACATAGCGTTAAACTGAGACAGACCAGGATAACGATAGCACTTTCCCCTTTCGTCCCAACCCAAATATCGTTTGCTAACGAATATGATATTTTTCCCAAAAATAAAAAATAGGTAAAATGTTCAATGAAAAATGTTTATTATTATTGTGAGACACTTGCAATTGCATTAAATAGTAGAACTTATTTACATTTACGTGCACGTGTAATTTATTCAGAGTAAGAGCAACTTATTACTTTCTAAATTTTTCTTTTTCGACTACAAAAACCAAAACATGGGTTTTAATTGCTATTAATTTGAACTATTGCAATAAAATCGATGAGTTTAAGGCAAAACGACACAAGCGCCAAAAATTTTAAATTTGTTAGAAGTACATGTACCTGCAGGTCGATAGAGAATTAAATTCTCTATCGACCTTCTTCTAAAAAAAAATAAAAATTTGGCGCTTGTGCTGTTTTGACTCAAACCCATCGAAAAATACATTTATTTCTATATAAAAATAATTTTAAAAGTTGTATTGACCCTCTCCAATTAATCCACTAAGTACACTCACGTGCAAAATAATCGATCAACACAAATTTTCGATGAATTTCAGTCGCAAATAACTTTTTTATTTGATGTCGGATTTAAACGAATATTAAAGAATATTGTAGATAAATTAATGGACAATAGCTCACATTTTAAAAAAATACTAAAAATAGACGTACGTTTATAATATACAGGTTTAAACAAAAAGATGTTTTTTACCATAAGTTTAAGACATTATGTAGAGTGGCAAAACCGTATATTGTTCTAAATTAAGTTTTATTTATCAAGTCACATCTATTCTTAACAGTTTTGTTTTTGGTTCACCTCGATATATTTATTTTTGTGGAAAATATGGATTTTTTTTAAAAACATTGCAATTTCCAATATTTTTCCTGTATGAAGAACTAAGGGTGCTATGGTCCATCCATAGCCTATGGAGAATGACAGCAGGGCCGTGCGGTAGATTTTTTCAGTATGATGCAAGTTATTGAAATGCCGCCCCTTAAATGTTTTCTCTTTAAATTAATTAAAGATTCCCAAGAAAACTGCACAAAATGAAAATATTTTTAATTTGAAAAAAACATAAATATAACAGGACTTTAATATAATTTTATCCTTTTATGTGTAATCTAGAGTGGCAGCTAATGTAGAATCAATAGATAATAATGATAGATGTCTAAGTTTTGTTTGGCTTATTGAAAAACTTATTTCCTCACTAGCTACAGATACAGGGAGTGTTAATAAAATTCGCAAAACTATAAAAGCGTTCGGATACAAAGTAATTAAGTTATTTTGGCACAATTAATTTAAACCGTCTAAAGATTTCATAGAATATTTCAGCATCCGGGATACATTACGTAGGTATACGTAATGTATAACAACTATAGTTCTTCTTGTAAGTCATTTGCATTTATACGCAGTAATAGTACATTCTGTAACAAGTTTGGAATACAGCATATTCCGCTCGAGGAAAAATTTGACACACGAGCCGAAGGCGAGTGTGACGGTTTTACGAGAGTGGAATATGCTATTCCAAACGTGTTTCAGACATTATTTTCTCTACGACTACGTAAGAATAATAACGCTTATATAATTTTAAGAAACCAAGCAGTTTTTGACATTTAAGTTTTTTGTCTTGTCAAACCATTTTGTGCCGTCACAATTTTATAATGTAAATTATAATAAATTTAAAAAAATGGTATGCCTAAATCTTTATTATAATTAAAAATAGTTATTTACTTTATTTAATCTATGTCAACATCTATTCTTTTTCTACATTTTAAAGGTCTTTTTTTAAACTTTTTGAATCTGTCAAAACTTCAAAGCCGGTATAGTAGGTAACTGGTTTATCATTTTAATATCAAATTTATTATAATTTTGATTTGTATATTTGAAAAACAATAAATATAACTAATTTTTTGTGCCTAAACCTTAATTATACAACTGCTATTATTTTTTAATTAATGAATATTACAGTTATATTTAAATATTTTTAAATTTTTTAAGTTTAGTAAACAGCCAGGAGATGTCGTTACTTGTGACCATTCTTAAACAAGAGTAGGAATATTCTCGCACAGTATTGCAGAAAAACATCCTTTCTATGATCAAAAATTACACTAGAATGTTACTATTCTTAAGTAGTCGTAGAGAAAAAATATTTGTTAATTTTAACCAAATAGTAACCAGATTTTATGTTAATTCAGGTCCACATAACTTTTTGTTAAGTTTACAATCATTTGTATTTTGTATATTTAATAACAAAATTCCATGTCGATTTCAACCATAATTCTTGTATTTTTTACAAACTCTTATGAAGACCCAGTATTAAAAGTATTTGTTGTAGATTGGCAACTTTAAAAAAGAGAATTTGCTATAAGAAATGTTGCTTTATTAAACAATTTTCTAAATAAAACATAATTAACACATACCTACATAAATGAACACAAAAATAACATACACAAAATGAAATAACACACCATTCTGAAATCATCAGATTATATAGAAATTTGGTACAATATAACTATCAGTCATGGGCGCCGCTACATAGGGGCAGGGGGGGGCCCGGGCCCCCCCCTGGAAATTCATACCCAGAAATTCCGGTACTCCATAATTTGTATAATATTATAAATAACCATAATACCTAATAGGCGTGTTGCAAAACGAAAAATAAGACGTGTTACACACAAAAATTGCTTATAATTATCCTGTTATTACTACTCTATATAGAGTGTTATGCTATAGCATGACATATGTCATGCTATAGCATAACATCGATATGTATTACCTAAAAAAGTCGCTACAGTACAACCACATTTTTTTATGTTTAAGTTTTTGTTATTGTTATAACTTATTTTTAAAATATTACTCATGTTTGTATTTAATTTTTTTGTTATAATTTAATTTATCATAATTTGTATAGCGTATACATAAGACGGCTGTACTACTAGAGGAGATTCCTCGGCGATACAATTTTTTTTATATTTATATATTTACCAAAAAACTGTGATGTATTTTTTGCAATATGTACCAATATAAATAAATAGGTAAATATACATATAAAGATGATATTTTATTTGACTTAAGTTTAATGTGAACTTCTACAGTACAACTTGATTATAAATAACATCTATCAAAATTGTAAAAAACTTTAAGGCCCCCCCCTAGACGAATTCCTTCCGGCGCCCATGCTATCAGTACTTTTAAAACACTTACTGATTTACTTTAACTTCACTATATTGCCTAATTTTAATTTGAAAACCAATAATGACATTATAAACACTCCTGTCACTGTTAAATATTATAAACAACCGTTGAAGCTGACACAATTTGTTGATAAGTGTGTTGTGCTTGGAAATGTTTTGATGGGCTGCCTGAAATCACGTGTACTTTTTCAACGGAATAATTTGTTAAACATTAACAAAATAATCTGTAACCTTTGAAATTAACAAAATGCTTACAAAATTGCATTTTACCTTTGGAAAACTTTCGGTAAAATATACCTATTTCTTTGTTAAAATAATTACAAACCCATGTTGTAAATACCTAATACCAAAGAATTACTCCACATAAACTTGCACTTGTTATTTGATATGCGGGGGAGGCGCCTTTTTGCGAGTCAATCTTACTAAATGCCTACGTTAATACCGGAATTATACAGAGTAATCTAAAAAAGTGTCGCATAAAGATTTTTAAGTATTGAAAAATCTAAATTGTACCTATATATTTTTTTTGATGTTGCTGCTAATGCCGCCCCTTTACTGTGCCGCCTGATGCGGCCGCATCCTCGCATCATATCACGGCACGGCCCTGAATGACAGTGACAGTTTTGTTGAATCATCCCATATTTGGACATGTCATACACGGCTTTCAAAAGCTATCAAATTGTTTTTTGCAAATAAATGTTTAAATTTTGAGGTGTCTTCTTACTTTATAAAATGGATATGTCTCCGACTGATGTTGCCAGAACTATTAATTTAATCCAGGATGGACGGTCACAGTATTACGTGGCAAGTGTTTTAAACGTCATAAGAAGTAAAGTACAAAGGGCAACATCAGTCGGAGACATTTTTAAAATTAAGAAGACACCTTAAAATTAACACATTAATTTACAAAAAACAATTTGATAGCTTTTAAAAGCTGTATATGACATGTCCAAGTATGGGATGATTCAACAAAACTGTCACTGTCATTCTCCATAGGCTATGGATGGACCATAGCAACCTTAGTTCTTCATAAAGGAAAAATATTGGAAATTGCAATGTTTTTTAAAAAAACCATATTTTCCACAAAAATAAATATATCGAGGTGAACCAAAAACAAAACTGTTAAGAATAGATGTGACTTGATAAATAAAACTTAATGTAGAACAATATACGGTTTTGCCACTCTACAGAGTGTCTTAAACTTATGGTAAAAAACATCTTTTTGTTTAAACCTGTATATTATAAACGTACGTCTATTTTTTAGTATTTTTTTAAAATGTGAGCGATTGCCCATTAATTTATCTACAATATTCTTTAATTTTCGTTTAAATCCGACATCAAATAAAAAAGTTTTTTGCGATTGAAATTCATCGAAAATTTGTGTGGATCGATTATTTTGCACGTGAGTGTAGTAGACCGAGCACCGCTGCAATAGGTATACTATAGTAGCTGCTCGCCGCACGGTCCCTACGCGCTTCAACCCTTATTTTTTTCGACTTATTCTTGGGATCCCATCTTCATATTAAATCAAAATTTAGGGAATTGAAAAAGCTTTCTTTTGATATTAATTTAAAAAAAATCAAATGTGTCGCATTTCGAGAAAAAAACAAATATATTTTTTAAATCGTTTTTTTATAACCAAAAACATTTTTCTCGCTTTCCAGACCATTTTTATCGTAAAGCGTGGAAAAAATGCTATACGATATGTTGATTTTCAATTAAAAAAAAATTAATATATACATGAATATTTCGACGTCTTTTAAGCGCACGAGAAAAACAAAAAATTTTCAGGCCCCTGTACCTCTGCAACCCGCTAATCCTTTTTGCCCCCCATTTGGAAAATTAAGGTAGTCCAATAGGACAATTATTTGGCAAAGTTTTGTTAAAATCGGAGACAACATCATTTTTAGGTGGGAACACTTGAGGTGTTTATATGTAAATCATATACCTCATTTATTAGGTTTAAAAATAAATACTAATTAAAGATAAAACATTTGATAAATATTTAAAAATACTTCTTGGTAACGATTATATTTTTTAGTTTGGTGAATTACCATATCACCTAGTGCGATCGAGAAGGTTCAAGGATTTGTACGAAAACGTACTGTTTAACTATGAATGGCTGCACGCAAAATTATCAAGTTGTCCTTTGCAATCCGTACTGGCCGACTACGAGGATGCCAGCACCCACATAGAAAATAAAGATTCTAAAAGGTAAAATAACCTTTTTTTTTTGACCGTTTCATATTTTTCTCGCTGTGCTCACAGCAAACGGAACTGTATAGGATGACTCCCCGTTTGAATAATTAATCTTAAAGTTTTATCAGAACTGTATTGAATCGTGCTTTGTTTTTATATTTTTCGCCTCTATACCTATGCGCGACTATAGTTAAAGTCAAACTCAATGGTGTCTTACAAGATACATTATTTTGATTTTCTATATTCAACAGAGAGGTAGAAACTCGACCCTGTCGAATGGTGCAGCCATTTATGTCTCTAGAAATTATTGAAAAAGGGGGCAGTCCAATCCCTGATAGCAAAATTTGATTTTAAGAATCTTCTAAGAAGATATTACCCGGAATAATGGAATATTCTTAGAACCTTCCCTTATTGCTAAGAATGTTCTTAGGGACTTTTAAAACATTCTATAGATACCATTTTAAAGATGCAATTAGATTCTTAAAAGCTTCTTAAAACCTTCCTAAAAAGCATCCTAAGAACATTTTAAGAATACGTTTTTGGGATGTTCTTAGAAGGTTTCTATGAAGCTTCTAGGAAGCTTTTGAGAATATTTCCAAATATGTCAGATACCCACGTTCTAATATGTTGGATTCTACATTCGTAAAATTCTTCAGGAGACGACAAATACGCCTCACTGTCATAATATGACAGTGAAATGTATTTGATAAATTTTACCTTTTGAATTTCGGTGTTTGGGGTTTTAGTCATTGCACTGGCAATACATAATAAAAAGCACTAAAATCTTTCTAGCCAACAAAACTATCTTACAATCACAAACAAAACAACAATCCCTTGTACTAGGTACTAAACTAACGAAACTTTCAAAACAATAATTAAAAGCAAGTCGCGTGAAATCCCAATCTCACACAAGAATAGGCATATTTTTCTATGAAAATTATTCTCTAAATCCATCAAGTTTGAAAGTTTTTATAATATTTTTATTTGTTTTGATAAATAAAAAATATTGTTTGTAAAAACCTAGAAAAAGTTGAAATTTTCTATTTTAATTTTTGTTAATATAACAAAACAAAATATTACTGCTATTTTAAATCATTTTTCTTAGAGAACTGATGTTGGTCGCTGACGCTCTAAGATTGGGGGGTGCAGTATTGGGCCCCTACCCCAAGATGCTTGCTCCGCAACTCATCGGTCGACTTTTGCCAGAGGTGGAGTCCAACCCTAACATAAAGATGCTTCTTAACGATTGCGACATTAAGGGGCCCATGCACTGCTCTCTTTTGCCGCTGTACCATTGTCTTCACACTCCTGGTGGACCGCTTAAGGTGAGTTTACACAGATGTAAATGGGTCGTTTTCAAAAAACACCCGCCTTTCGCTGTCCGTAAGTTTGAATTCCATTAATTTAAAAACCAAGTGAAAGCCTAACAAGCCCTTGGTAAACTCTTTCAGAAAATTTTTGTTTAGTTATTTCAGAATAATTTTTTTTAATTTTGAAACTTGTGAAACACACATTTTCGCATGTCCCATTAGCGTTTTATAAAACTTACATACATGTTTTTTTTAAATATTGAATAACCAGAACTTTGTGTTACTTTATAGCAATCCATAACATCCTTAGTTAATACAGTAAACAATGTATATAATATATATTTATTAAATTATAAAATAATTAATTTTAATCTACTTTATTTAAAATTTGACTCATGTCCCAGACATTTTTTCCGTTGCGTTACGTCCGTCGCGTTACCGATAGAATATTAAAAAAAAAAACATATATATGGCAACTTTTTTGGTACTCACGTGATCAACAAATGATGTTCGGACGTACACATTACCCAGCTGAATTTATTTATTCAATCAGGAAGGAGATTTCGGTTGAAACAGGTGCGGGTAACGCGAATGTAATAATTGTTTGTCCGCTAAGTTACTCAAAAAAATAATAAAAATAAGGTAAAAAAAATACTATTTTTCATGTTTATGTTTATTTTAGGGCACTAAAGCTCATTGAGATTAATTAATGACTGTAATGTGTTATTATTATTTTTTAAATATGGTTTTACAAAACTTTGTCCACTGTATTACCGAGTCCACTATCCACTATGTTACCTTATGGCAACGCAATAGAATTTAGGGTAACGCAATAGAATTTTTCGACAACAAAGTGGATATTTACCGTCGCTTTTATTAAAAGTAGTTTATGATTAACCAATTTAAAATTATTGGTAATTACAACTCATGATATAGATTACATCCAAGGAAAAATTCCACGCAATATAAAAGTACTAAAAGGGACCTTCACCAGCTTATAATCAAGTGAGCACCACTACAAGGGATTTTGTTTATGCATTACTCTAAAATCGTACCACCCTACATAGTTTCTTTTTTACGTTATCTGATTAAGTCCTTTGTGTACCCCTGTCCGTTGTGATACCAATGTCTATTTTGTTACTTTTTTAGTTTTTGTTAAAAAAAAAATACTTAAAATGATTTTTATACACTATCACTTGGTAATACGTGTTTATAAATTAGAGTTTAGTTCACTAATACAGTGACTAAAAGAAAATATTAATGGTATTGTTTTTTAACAAAGAATCGGAATGGTTTCTTTTAAAAAGTAACTTAACGAACATACATATTTAAAAAAGCATACAATTTTTAAGAAAATAAAAAATTGGAGTTAAAAGTTTGTGAACTAAGTACATTTTATTTCAAATTATTTTTATAACAACTTTTTTATTGAATTAAATTTTGGATTTCAAATTGGTAATGGAGATATATATATCTGTATATATACAGCTAGCTAAACACATTTTTCTGGAAAAAAACGTAAAAAAAATTAAAAAGTGTACTGCCTGTCTTAAATGTAAGTAAACAAAACTCTAAACATTTATAAAAAACCAACCAAAAGTCAATTTAAGCAAAAAAAATATTTTGATCTTCATTTTCCTGAAAGCGGGTGTTTCTTGAAAATGACCCAAATAAAGCCTTATCCGTTTGAAGTTGTCTAGAATTTCTTAATAAATACCTTTATTTTATGTTATAGTATTCTTTGGAGGGTCACCAGTTCGCAGTTTTTTCGATTTGTCTGACCTCCGATTACAGATACATCGTGTCGATTTCGAATAGATTCATCACGTGGGACTTGTCGACCAGCGATTTAACGAGGGACGTAAACCCAAACATCGAAGGCATCATGCAACATTTGGTTCTTAGCCCGGACAACAAATGGGCTGCCGCTTATACCAACAACAACCAGGTTGGAAGCTCAAGTTTATTAGAGTTACTGTATCCCTGATAGCAAAATTTGATTCTAAGAATCTTCTATATTATAAGAAGATATGACCCGGAATAATGGAATATTCTTAGAACCTTCCCTTATTGCTAAGAATGTTCTTAGGGACTTTTAAAACATTCAATATATACCCTTTTAATGATGCAATTAGATTCTTAGAAGCTTCTTAAAACCTTCCTAAAAAGCATTCTAAGAACATTTTAAGAATACGTTTTTGGAATGTTCTTAGAAGGTTTCTTATGGAGCTTCTAGGAAGCTTTTGAGAATATTTCCAAATATGTCAGATACCTACGTTCTAATATGTTGGATTCTACATTCCTAAAATTCTTCAGGAGGCGACAAATATGCCTCACTGTCATAATATGACAGTGAAATGTATTTGTCGTCCCCTTAAAAAAATTTGCGACATATTAATATATATTTATTTAAAAATATTAAATAAACAATTTGACCTCTAAACCGTAAGTTGTATGACATTATTTCATAAAAAGTAAAATTGGAAAATTTTGTGGGAAAAGTCAGATTAGATTGAAGTTGAAGATAGTTAGGATTATTATACATAAAAATGTTAATTCAGAAATAAAACATAGGTATACAAATTAATAAATATTTATTTTTAACATAAAATAAAATATAAAAAAACAAAATATTTTCTTATAAAATAATTCTTCATAAAAGAAAAAACCAAATAGTTCTTCATAAAAAAACATTTTTCATTGTATTTAAGTTGGATAGAAGATTTTATGTAAAAGCCGGATAATTTAGATACCTATAGTAAAAGTATTTTTGTTATCGAATATTGTTTTAATTTGACAAATAACTATAAAAAAATATTTTGGGTTGTGTTTTTTACTTAGTATTTAATACTAAGTATAGGTACCTTTATACGTAGATTATGGTATTTTTTACTATTATATAGGTACCAAACTAAACTGAATATGCTTAACAGAATGTTCCAGGAATATTACTAAATGAACTTTCTATAGCAATTACTTTCTCAACATTCTAAGCATATGTTTATAGTGGATTAATTTTTACCACTAAACTTTGCACCTTCTAAGAACCTGCCTATAGGCCAGTGAGAATATTCTTAGGATTATCCTATATTACTTTTAAGCATGTTCTTTGGAAGAAATATAGCATGATCCTAAGAATATTCTCACTGGAAGGTTTAAAAAACATTCTTAGAACATGACTAGAAGAAATATAGCATGATCCTAAGAATATTCCCACTGGAAGGTTTAAAAAACATTCTTAGAATAAACTGTGCTATCAGGGATACTAGCCCTGATAGCACACTTTATTTTAAGAATGTTTTTTAAACCTTCCATTGAGAATTAGGATCATGCTATATTTCTTACTTATTACTAAGAATATTCTTACTGGCCTATAGGCAGGTTCTTAGAAGGTGCAAAGTTTTAGTGGTAAAAATTACTCTACTCTAAACATAATATTATGCTTAAAATGTTAAGAAAGTAATTGCTATAGAAAGTTCATTTAGGGAATATTCCTGTTAAGCATATTTAGTTCAGTTACCTATATAATATTAAAATATACCATAAACTACGTATAAAGGTATATACCTATACTTAAGTAGGTACCTAATTAGTAATTAGTATTAAATACTAAGTAAAAAACACAATACAAAATATTTTTTTATAGTTATTTGTCAAATTAAAACAATATTCGATAACAATAGCTATTTACATACCATGGGAGGAAAATAGTGATTTTCCTCCCTCCAATAGTTTGATGCCCGACGCGAAGCAAAGGGCATTAAATATTCAAGGTAGGAAACGCATTTTGCTCCTGAGGTATGTATATAGTTTTTCTATTACCTTTTATCGGTTTTAAGACATTTTAAGCGTTCCGGTTCCTTTTACTAACCCGGTATGGGGCAATAAAATTATGACAAAATATTAAGTAGGTGTTGCGTCGCCGACGTTATGTTGACAACGCTTTGTTGCTATGGTATTTTTGGTAATAAAAACATAACGGTTTTTATAAGCTGTCAGAATGTTTATCATAAATTTGAAATTCTTCCTACGTTTTGAAAATAAGTTCTAGCGAAGAAAACCTGCCGCAAGATCTTGCTAAAGAGGCAAAAATAGTTGCAATTAATTTCCTTCCATAAAAATCGAAAGAGCGATATGAAAATGGACAAGCGCGGAGTAAATCTTTTTCCTACAAAATCAAATAGGGCTAGACGAGGTACAAAAACTCTTGCTAATGTAAAATTGAGGAGTGATTTTTCAAAAGGCCTTATTTCCATTTTTACTTGAATGTAATTTTTTGACAAAATCCCAAAGGTATGGTTAAAAGGCATATACAGGGTGTTATGTAATTAATGTTATATATTAAAATGGGTTGTTCCTTAGGGTCCATAAAGAAGCACGTGAAACTTTTTTTTTTCTAAATTCCAAAGACTAAAAATAATTTATCCTACCAAAAAGTACGACTAGGAACTTTAGGCTAATCTGGTTGCCTAATTTAATTTATTATGTTATGGTTGGTAACAACAGCGTTTCCAAATTCTGTCAAAAAAGTTGACAAACATTGTTTAAATTTAGCTTAATTACAAAAATGACAAAATTAACAATGCAAATTGTCAATTGGGCGTTTTTATTAATTGTTGGTTATGTCATTTTTGTACTGAAGGTAAATTCAAACAAAATCTGCCAACTTTTATGACAGAATCTAGTGCATTTCTTTCAAATTTTAGGTTATGTGCTCAAATTGTAAATATCTTAACTAAGGGAAGTACTTTTGGATTTATTTACACAAATTAAATGTTTAAAGTTTAACCTGTGAACTGGTCCCAATTTCATATCAGTAAACAGAAAGAAAAAAACCGATGAAAAAATTAATTTAGTGGTTATGGAATTTTTAAAATAGGTACTAAATTTTCTAATCATTGCTTAAGCTAATAGCTGGATGAATAAATATATACAGAAGGGTATTAGAGCTTTAAGGGCATAAAACTTTTGTATTTATTGAGTTTTTATTTATTTTTTGCAAGAAAAATTTTTAGTAACAATTTTTTACATCTGGCAACGCGCAGCTACTTTGTTGGTTGGTATCTATGTACTCACAGAACACAAGTGTGCAGAGATAAACCAAGTGTGTAACCAGTGGCGTATCACAAAAAATATAAAAAACTTCTAATGCATATTTTTTCTTTATCTTTGGAAAAATATTTTTTTATTAACGGCGAAATATGACAGCAGGTCTGAAGTATTATTAAATATTCATCAGAATTCTTTTTTAAATAATCTATATTTCCCTAACCTATACAGGTTATAGTCATTTTTTTGAAAAATTGTTGCAAATGGAAATACGACCTTTTGAAAAATCACTCCTCAATTGTTAAAAAAAAGAGGGAGGAACTTTTTTTTCCTCCCAGGGAGGAAGAGAGGAATTTTCCTCCCTCGCTCAGGGGTGGAAAATGAAGTTTTCTAGTAAGGTAGTAGAAAAAAATACTTTTACTATAGGTTTTTTATTTTATGTTAAAAATATGTATTTAATAGTTTGTATATCGATTTTTTATTTCTGAATTAACATTTTTATGTATAATATTCCTAACTATCTTCAACTTCAATCTAATCTGACTTATCCCACAAAATTTTTCAATTTTACTTTTTATGAAATAATGTCATACAACTTATAATTATAATTATGGTTTAGTGGTGAAATTGTTTATTTAATATTTTTAAATAAATATATAGATATTAATATGTCGCAAATTTTTTTAAGGGGACGACAAATATATTTCACTGTCATATTATGACAGTGAGGCATATTTGTCGTCTCCTGAAGAATTTTACGAATGTAGAACACAACATATTAGAACGTGGGTATCTGACATATTTGGAAATATTCTCAAAAGCTTCCTAGAAGCTAGAGCTAGCTCCATAAGAAACCTTCTAAGAACATTCCAAAAACGTATTCTTAAAATGTTCTTATGCTTTTTAGGAAGGTTTTAAGAAGCTTTTAAGAATCTAATTTCATCATTAAAAGGGTACATATCTATTGAATGTATTAAAAGTCCCTAAGAACATTCTTAGCAATAGGGGAAGGTTCTAAGAATATTCCATTATTCCGGGTCATATCTTCTTAGAAGATTCTTAAAATCAAATTTTGCTATCAGGGAGGATGCTGCTTATACCTGTATACTAGGATGCTGCTTATTTGTATCATTAGGAAATTTTAGTTCTGTACCCTAGATCAAAGGTTCCCAAAACTTTTACAGTTCGCAGGTTTCAGCGTTTTTTGCAATTCAATAAAACCCTGCTGATTTTTTCAGACTGTCCTCTTGAACATGTTATCTAGCGAATTTGTCACTTTGGACAACCCATTGCCGGAAGCTTGCACCGTAACAGGAATTTTCTTGCTGAACCACAACCTCTTCGTGTACGGAACCGGAAGTTGGATCAGATTCGACATGAGAGGAAACAAAGAAGACGAATATACCTCGTGTTTGAATAAAAACGAGTGGTCTATATTGTGTATGTATCCAGAGTACTATAAAATTAATCTAAAATACTGGTAGTAGAGTACGTTTTTTCCCAGTAAAACCTCCCTCAATACTTTAAACGTCAACTGGCATTTCGCTCTAGCCTTCAAGCTTACTTTGTTTTTTTTAGTAATGGAATTTGACAGTAAAGAAGAATACAGGATTATTTTTTGGAAAAACAGTTTGGAAGATGAAAATTTAAAATTTTTATATCACTCTATTAATGGTGATTTTAAAATATTGGACTTACACAGGTAATTTACTTCACGTTTATTGAACAAATCAAACTTTTATTTAAATAGCAACCACGTTGATAACGTGTGTCTTATCGGGTAAGATCCTTCTCTTACTCTATAAGACCACGTTGCATTAACAACACTAAGATAATTAATATTTTAAAGGTTAAATATTAATAAAAAGTACGTCATTTTAGTGCTTTGGTACTGAACAAAGAAAAAAACATCGTATACGCATGTACTACAGAGAACTCGTATGCAGTTACAAAATACAAGTTAAACGAAGAATTAAAAATTTGGGATAAAATCGAAGATTTGCCCAAAATAGAGAACGAAAGTGAAGCCATTTTGCAACTGAAACTTAACTCGAAAGGAACTATTTTATATGGTAAAGGGTGGTCCATATTTTAGCACTTTTATTTCCAGACCGCAATATGGAACATCAAATTTGGCACATATTTTTTAACTTTTTGTGTATTCAAATTGAAATATAAAAAAAAAAATATTTTAGCAACCACCAGTAACGGTTTTATAATATGGGATCTAAACGAGGAGGAAAAAATTGACACAGAGGCGATTGTTTTAACTCTACCATATGGTACCAGAAACATTACCACCAAAATGTTGCAGTCCAATTCTATAATGCTTAGTGGTCACAAGAATTATGCTATTGCAGGAGTAAGGTAATAGTTGCAACTAGAATCAACAGCATCTTGGCCAACTTGGAAAATTTAGACCCATGGGTCTAAATTTTCCAAGTTGGCCAAGATTCTGTTCTGATTTTTTTTTATAACTTGAATGTTTACAAAACGAATTAGCAATCAAATTGTTTTTTTTTTATAAAAAAATTAAATTTTTATTGAGATATATTCTGTGGGTAAAAGACATAAGGGGATAAGTCAAAAAAAGCAATTTTTCAGCAGTGCCTTAAACGTGTTCCCATTAATTTAGGAAATATATTTATGGTTAGCGGGCATACCCTTTTGGTAGCATATGACATGTGCTACCAAAAGGGTATACCCACTAACCAATAATATATTTCCTAAATTAATGCGAACACGTTTAAGGCTCCACTGAAAAATTGCTTGTTTTGACTTATCCCCTTATGCCTTTTACCCACAGTATTGATCTTTCCCTGATAGCAAAATTTGATTCTAAGAATCTTCTAAGAAGATATTACCCGGAATAATGGAATATTCTTAGAACCTTCCCTTATTGCTAAGAATGTTCTTAGGGACTTTTAAAACATTCACATAGATACCCTTTTAATTATGCAATTAGATTCTTAGAAGCTTCTTAAAACCTTCTTAAAACGCATTCTAAGAATACGTTTTTGGAATGTTCTTAGAAGGTTTCTTATGGAGCTTCTAGGAAGCTTTTGAGAATATTTCCAAATATATCAGATACCCACGTTCTAATATGTTGGATTCTACATTCGTAAAATTCTTCAGGAGGCGACAAATACGCCTCACTGTCATAATATGACAGTGAAATGTATTTGTCGTCCCCTTAAAAATTTTTGCGACATATTAATATATATTTATTTAAAAATATTAAATAAACAATTTGACCTCTAAACCATAAGTTGTAAAAAGTAAAATTGGAAAATTTTGTGGGATAAGTCAGATTAGATTGAAGTTGAAGATAGTTATGATTATTATACATAAAAATGTTAATTCAGAAATAAAAAATCGGTATACAAATTAATAAATATTTATTTTTAACATAAAATAAAATATAAAAAAAACAAAATATTTCCTTATAAATTAATTCTTCATAAAAGAAAAAAACTAAATAGTTCTTCATTAAAAAAACATTTTTCATTGTATTTAAGTTGGATAGGAGATTTTATGTAAAAGCCGGATAATTTAGATATATAGGTATACCTATAGTAAAAGTATTTTAGTTATCGAATATTGTTTTAATTTGACAAATAACTATATAACCTTTATACGTAGATATGGTATATTTTACTATTATATAGGTACCTAACTGAACTGAATATGCTTAACAGAATGTTCCAGGAATATTCCTAAATGAACTTTCTATAGCAATTACTTTCTCAACATTCTAAGCATATGTTTAGAGTGGATTAATTTTTACCACTAAACTTTGCACCTTCTAAGAACCTGCCTATAGGCCAGTGAGAATATTCTTAGGATTATGCTATATTTCTTATTATATTATATGCATAATCTTTAGAAGAAATATAGCATGATCCTAAGAATATTCTCACTGGAAGGTTTAAAAAACATTCTTAGAATATGACTAGAATAAATAATGCATGATCCTAAGAATATTCTCACTGGAAGGTTTAAAAAATATTCTTAGAACATGACTAGAAGAAATATAGCATGATCCTAAGAATATTCCCACTGGAAGGTTTAAAAAACATTCTTAGAATAAACTGTGCTATCAGGGTTAGGAATGAACAAAATAAATGAGCATTTAGAGTTTGTGACCACACCTAGAAACTCACAAAAACAGACTTCACAGTATATCGAAAGGCTATTTTTTCTTGGCATTGTTTTAAACATGTACCAACGAATTAGTTTTTATTTTTTTAGAAAGAATCTGTACGTATGGGGAATGCAAAACAGATCGTTGATGAAAATTCTGGACGCCCATTTTGGACGAATAATCCAGCTGGAAGCGCTGACCATTGGAAATTGGAACAGCATCGTGACATCGTCAATCGACAGAACAGTTAAAGTGTGGAATATCAACAATATATTCGAACAAGTACACGTGATCGATAGGCACGAGTTGCAAGTCGATTCAATTAGGTAAACAGGGGGTCCAAAATTATCTGCTCACCATCTTCCCTGGCGAAAATGAAATGTGCAAAAAGTGTGCCAAATTATTTGAGAACAATGTGCCAACAATGTGCAATCTTTTAAAAAAATGATGTGCGGAGGGTGGGAAATGGAACATGAAACAGTGTGCAAAACCAAAAATCTAAAAGTGTGAATAATCACTGGACAATGTTCTAAAGGGAACTCCTTTTGATTTTTCACATTGTTTGCACACTGTTTCTTGCCACCTGTGTGCCTATTACAAAAACAGATTCTTTTTGGTAACCTATAAAGTCTTTTTAATTTACATATAATTGAAATATAAATATCCTTATAATAATATTAATCAAATAAATATTTTTTTCAAAAAAATTTAAAAAAAAAAATACCCACAATGTAGGTCCTACATACTGTATTTTATTAAGAAAAATACCTGCACTGTCAACTCCACGAAGGGGATTGCTTTGATCTTAGCAATAGGCTGAGAAGCGATACATAAGATGGAATTTACCTCACCTTTTAAATAAATGTTGTACCCCAACACAAGCGAGATATATCTAAAATGTGCTTTAACTGTTGAGTGATCGCTAAAACTGTACAAACAGTGTGCTATAAAAAGGTGTAATATAAGCGTCATAAATGAGAAATATTAAAGCGTGCTAACAGTGTGTATAAAATGTGACATGCGTAAGATAGACTGAAGCTTTGCAAAATGTCTTTAAACAATGTACTAACACTGTGCAAACAATGTGCTAAAATATAATGTAATCTAAGCGTGACATATGATAAATAAAAAGCGTGATGTCAATGTACATAAAAAGGGAAAAAACTTAATTATTTCAAAAAGTGTGAAATTACCACAAAGTAGCGTGTAGGCACATTTTTTTAAAGACTTGCACTCCAAATACACACTTATTGCACACTTTTCATGCACGCTTTATTTTCGCCAGGGTTGTACCTTGCTAATAACTTTGTTATTATTAGAGCTACAAAGTTGGTTAAATAAGCAAATCAGTGCCGGTTTAACAGGGGTTTTTTGGGGACTATAGCACCGGGCGGTAAATATTTTTGGGGCGGTACCGCGTACCGCCCATAATTTAAAAAAAAAATACTTAATCGTTAGAATTTAGAAAAAAAATTATTGCGACGGCGGATACAAGGGATACAAATGAGAAAAATGTTGTTAGAGTTAAAGCAGCTTCTCTATCAGAAAAACTTGATTTATTGGAAACGGAATAATTTGAACTTTTTGGATAGATGTTTTGCAAAGGGTTAATGAAACCAATAAAGCAGTCCAAAAACAAAATATGGATTTAAGCACAAATGCTCATCTTTTGTTATTTTTAGTTGAGAACTTTGATTTTTTACGTGATATCATTTTGATCATTACGAGGAAATTAACAGGAAACGAAAATTATGCTCAGAAGCGGATAATCATAAGAAAATTACAATTTGAAGAAAATAATTCAGAGGCAAGTTTAAGCAAAAAAGAAACAATGCGAACAATATGTTTTATTGTAATAATTGACAATCTATAATCCGAAATCATTTGTCGATATGATAGCTAGAAATCTGGCACAAACAAATTTGAATTTTTGTTTAATCTAAAAGCATAAATCTTCTTGGAGGATTTGGATGAGTTTTTTCCTCAAAAATGTGTCCAACTCAAGAAACTGGTAACTTCCCTTTCGGAAATAAAAATAGAAACTCCATTGGAATTAGTATAAGTTTTATACGAAAGTAAATTAATATCTTCATTTCCGAATATTAATAATTGTCTGCGAATTTTTTTATAATGGTTTCAAATGCAAGTGGTGAACGATCTTTTTCTGCTCTAAAAAGGGTAAAGAACTACCTAAGTAATACAATTCCCCAAGAAAGATTGAACTCCTTAGCAATTCTGTCCAGAGGCGGATTATCCCTAAGGCAAACTAGGCACGTGCCTAGGGGCGCGAGGTTACAAGGGGGCGCTGAGTAGGTATTTATTAAAGAAAGATTTACAACTTATTGGTTTGATTATTTAATCAGTACGCGCACGTGAGTTTGAAACGAAAAAAATAATTAACATAAAATTAAAATTAAGTATGAGTATAAGGAACGTATAGCAGGCCCCATCGGCAACGCCTAGGAGGTCGAGGATGACAGTTTGGATGGTTAAGGCCACTCCCGGAATTTTTTCGCCAGATTAAGGCTAGTGGAGTACAAGACAAGAAGGAAAAACATTTTGGTTTTTGGGTGACATTGGACTGACCCAAAACCAAGTACAATCCGGAATCCCCCTTAACCAGGGATTTAGTAATGCCCCCATTTATTTGGGGCTCAGTGTAGGGGTCGAGAACTATCGATGGATAGTTATCTTCATTTTGTGGTAGAAATTGTATTTACGTTTTCTTTTTCTTTTCTAACCATTAGAAGTTACATCTATAATATTTATTTTATATAATTGCTCTTAATTTTGCTTTTTTAATTCTCTTATACAGCTAGCAGCATGCAATGCCTAAAATTTAGAGGTGTTTAGTGGTTTATGTTTAAGTTAGTCAAATATCGGAACTGGTTGTTTATTTTATTTTCGTTCGTTAAGTTTTAAACATTTAAATTTTTTGGGGATAGCGTCTAAGTTTATGCTTATTTATGTTTTGTGACGTTCTCACCTAGTGATTGAATAATTTACACTGTTACGCTGTTTTCAGTAATAATGATTGATTATTGTTAGGTTTTTGTTGCGAATTTGCGTATTAGGTCATGCGATTAATTGGTACTTAACAGATTTTTGCAGATGAACCCCTTCCACTCTAGGCTAGTTTGTTCCTTACATAAGGTGATTCATATTGGCCTAGGGTTAGATCTTCAGGTATGCTGTCATTTATCACTTAATTACTTCCGTGTCCGTATTCACTATATTCACTTGTTGGGGTTGCTTTATAATGCACTAATTTAATGTTTCTATTAAGACTTTGGACAACAGGTACACTGATTTTCGTTGTCCAAGTAGTAAATCTTTGCTCTAATTTCGCCCATTATTTTTCTTAAACTACACTATATATGAGCGATTTTAATGTTTCCTTAAAACTTATTATTCGGTACACTTAAGAGCGATGGAATTCGAGAGCACATTTACTCGACTGGCCGTCTGTATTGGTACTCCTAATTAACATAAAATTAAAATTAACATGTAAAAGATGTTGTAGAAGTTAATTCTATAGAAATGTATATCACATATTTCATTCACGCCTTAGGGTACACTGAAAAAAAAAAGCGGTCAGCGGTACCCATGGTAATGGTAAAATAGGCGCCAACCAGTAGAACCTTAGTTGCTACCATTACAGAATGGTAATGAGTTATTGTTACGAATTGACATTACAGCAAAGTGATCGTTACCACTACTGCTTTAATTAAATTTTACCACTACATGTTGTTATACAATAACCGTTTTATTAAAACCTTTTACCACTACACACTGTTGAAACTTACGAATACATATTGGTATATGGTACGCTTAGTATATTATTTTAGCTACTTAAATAGTTTTTAAAACAGGATATAACAGTAAGGCGAACCTTAGCCAAAATCATTGTTTAATTTGTATTATTGATTGCACTTACCCCTATAATTAGGTTTTCTCAACACCACGGTAAGGTAGTAAATAAATGACAATTGAGGAGTGACTATTCAAAACGAGACATGTCCATTTTAGTGATTTGCAGAAATAAGTCAAAAGCAAACGAATTGTTTTATGTTTGACTTATTTCTGCAAATCACTAAAATGGACATGTCTCGTTTTGAATAGTCACTCCTCAATTATATTAAAAACATTCTTTATTAAAATAAAATTATTTCCACAAAAATATAAGTTAAATAGGACCTACAAAAATTATGCAATAACTAAATATAATAAAAAACATGGCGGATCCTTAAATTATCGTACAAATATACTTAAATTATAGTATACTATAGTATACGAATATTTTTAGAGAAATTGAATTATGCAGTAAAAACCCAACCCAACCAATATATAAATAACATGTGTTTGTTAATTTAATTTTTCTTCTAAATTAGTGTTGGGCACACTTCCCAGTGAATGTGAGAAGTAAAAACCTTGCCGGTAACATAGGTATTATTTTAAAACATCGAGAGAAAACGAGTTATAGTTAACCCCCAAAAATCAATATTATAATACCTATAGGTAAAATGCGTTTTACGATCCGTACCGGTTAAAATGGGGAGTAGTTCCACAATATCCCAGTCCTTTAATAACTGTTCCACACCTACTCACAACACGATAAAAACAGTATGATATCACAAAACTACGCACTATGCAAAGCCGTAAACAGACAACCACTAAATGGCCAAATTTTCCGTTGCTCCTTGATTCGTACCAAATTTCATTAATTATAACATTATTAGTATTAACAACAGTAGTGGTAAACGTCAAAAAATTACTATTTGTAGTGGTAAGCTATTTATTACGAACCAGTTGTAATGGTAAAATTATCCATGACGTAGAATTGTACAATTTTTAACTATTTTGTTATAATCCGTGCTACTTATAGTAGTGGTAAATTTAATTTACAGAGTATACCATTTCGTAGTGGTATGTATCTCTCATTTAATATTAATCCTAATAACATTGTCCCTGTTGTAGTTAGTCAAAGTCACTTTACTACTACAAAAGTAAAATAAAAGTAAGATAATTTTTTTCAGTGTACACGTGTCCTGGCCTATACCTAATTATAAGTATATACGCCAGGACACGTGTACTTACCCTGATAATATTATAACTGTGTTACTTCTTCGTGAAAAAACTACTAAACCGATTGTGATAAAACTTGGTATGTAGATAGCTGGAAACCAAAATTTCCACGGTATGGGGCATCACGCGGGTGAAACCGCAGGGCACAGCTAATTATTATGTAAGTACTAGTTAAAATTTATACTATATGGCCGCTAAAGGGGCGCCGATGAGGTGCTTGCCTAGGGCGCTCTCGACATTTAATCCGCCTCTGATTCTGTCCATTTATCAAGACCTGCTAGATGAAATAAATGTAAAGTGTTATAAAACAATTTGCTACTATAAAGACTTGAAAACAACCTTTTAATTATTAGTATTAGGATTTCTCAATATTTATTTAAACCAAAGAATAATGTTTTATTTATTTATAACTTTTGATTAGTTTTTCTTAGTACTTAGTATTGTTTATATAAACCAAAGAATGTTTTATTTTTTAGTTAGTGCTTTTGATTAGTTTTTATAATTTGTTTATAAAGGCTCATTTTATATTTTATAGGATATTAAGTTTACTGTTAGATACCAGCCTAACCAACCTAATTTTCCACTTGACGAGAGAAAGTAAGACTTAAAAATTTAAAAATGTTTTTAAAAAAGTAATATTTTAAAGCATTGGGCGTTGCGTTTTTGCCAGAACCGGGCGGCGAACTAACTTAAACCGGCACTGATTCAAATTGGTGGCATTTTTTACTCACAGGGTGTCCTATTTAAAAAAAGGTTATTTTGTGAAAATTTCGGAAACCCAATTGTTTTTGTTTTCACCATTGGAATCGGAGAAAAATATGCCACCAATTTGCTATAACCAATAATAACGCATTTAGAATGAGCAGATGACTTTGGACACGGTGTATACAATATCCCTGTATCCTAAGACGACATTTTTTTTTTATATCGATTTGACTTAAATCGTCTTATATAAAAATGATTGTAATATAAGGAAGATGGCCATTTGATATTGTATTTTTTAAAATAACTTTTGTAGGTATGCATTATTTTTTTAAACTATATTTGATTTTTCAACCATCTCTAAACGAACAGTGTAACAATATACAAGTAACTTTTTTTCAGTTTGTCTGATAATTTGAGCCTGGCAGTGACAGCAACCAGAAACTGCGTAGGCGTGTGGGATCTACGGATTGGAAAATTAGTTGCCAAATTGGCCGACAGTCCTCTTGGCGCTATCGTCACGCATGCTATTGTCACACCGGATGGAAAGTAAGTAAAAAAAAATTAAAAAATAATCTTGAGTATGGGTATGATTACGTATGGCTGGCCCCATCGAAATCGAAAACTTTCAGTTCTTATATGTATTCCGCAACTGCACAGCATTACCTGTGTTTGGTGGATTTAGTAATACTACCATTCAATTGGAGTTCATGAATAGGGTTTTGGTGGTTAATTCGCTGCTTGGACCTATTCTTGATCCGTGTATGCTGAAAATTACTCTGCTGAAAGCCCTGGCACTGCAGTCCGCAATTGTTTGCCCCACTGTGCGAAACCATTTCTTTAGTAGGGCCGAGAACCATCGATATATAGTTTTCGGCAGTCGGCAAAGTAACTACCGACAATATTTTTTTTTTAAACGTATTATGCGAAAATTATCTGTAAAGGAAAGTAAATATATAGAAATTATTTGTCCCACTGTGCGTAAGCCTTGGCTTTATTTCAGTAAAGTCTTCACTCTTCACTTGTTGTATTCCTTGATTTTTGAATCGAAACATGCGCCCCCGAAAATGATTACTTATATTCTAATCTCTTATCAGAAAATGTGTTAAATAAAAAATTGTTTATAGATACATAATTTCCGCGGAAACAGGAAACATCCTAATCTGGATGAGATTAACTCAACAGGTGATATTTAAGGACGAACAACCCGGTATAAAACAACTGACCTTGATTGAAGGCGGAACCAAGATACTTTCCATATCGAAACCGAGCAATCCACCGGGTTCAGATCTGATCAGAACGGTGGCCACGGTGTGCGTTAGAGAAATACCCAGTAAGTTATAATATCATACTATAAAAATCTATATTTTATTATATTTTTTAAGGTGGGGAGATGGTATACAGCTTTGAATACCCTGTAAGGAGTATTACCGGGGTACCATTTAGAAATGTCGTAATAACTTCCGACAATTTACATTTGGTCGCCTCAGCTGCCGACAAAACCAACAGGGACTGCCTTATTGTACACAATGCGCAAAACGGCGCTCTGGTGCACAAAATTGCGCTCAAAATGTGCGGTATTAAGGTAAAAAATACAATTAAACATCACCAAAAAACAAGTGATCTACTAAGTGAGGTGTGTTGTGAAAGTAACGGAAATTTTCGTTTTTTCCGGGTTGCACTTTTTGTCGTTGGTGTTGGGCCAGAATATACCGCATATACAGGGTGTTTTACATTCGTGGTCCATTAGAAGTTACTGGGCAACGGAAAAATATATCGATTTAAAATTTTATATATATTTAAGTCTATTTTTTTTAAATATGTTGAAGTAAATTCCACTTCCAAAAACTATAAAAGTTAAGCAGTTTTTGAGATATAGTCAATTCCATATTATATATAAAATTGATTATATATCAAAATCTGTCCTACTTTTATAACTTTTTACGACATTTTCGGATTCAGCGTATAATATTTCATAGGAATTGACTGCTAAATGTCCTGGATACAAATTGCTGTTGACCAGAATTATTAGTGGCTGCTTTTTCGCTGTGACAATTTTGACTAATTCATTTTTAGAGAGTAAGTAATATAGTGATTTCTTCGTCACAGGACATCTTGCAGAATGACAGTGATTTAAATACAGTGTATGATAGAGAACATAAAAAACTTATGGCAACAAAATTAATAAAATCGGAAAATTATTTTACTTAACATACCACCCAAAAAAAAATTAGATATATATAAATCATCCTGTTCCGGCCTAAACATTATAAATGCTTCACAAACTAGAGATACCACACATAATGATATTTGCAACAAACTCTTTCAGAACTCAGACCAAGGAATTAGTAGTTACCTTCAGAATCCAGAAAAGGGATGAGGAATCCGAGAAAGAAATATATGAATTATATGATACTTACAAAAAGAAAATAAAAAAAAATACATAAAACAGCAATTTATCTTTAAAAATTATTTAAAAATTTATGTTATTTGAAAATTTGTACGTATGTCCAATAACTATGGTCCATGTGTCCAATTACTATATAAAATGTCTAATTACTCTACTTTTTTGCATGTTTTTATAAAACAACAAAATTCAAATATTCTTATATTTAAGTAAACGTAAATAAAGTTTAAACAAACAAACTATCTTTTTATATATTTATAAGAAAAAACTAAAATCTTTAAATTTAAAATAAATAATATTCCAATAACTATGTGTTTTACAAACAATATTTGCTTATTTAAAAAAAAAATCAACAAAGCTGTAGGATGTCAACTAAATGAAGCACTAGCTCGTTGGAGGCATTAAAATATTTAATTTATTTTAGGAAATATTTTAATAACAAAAAGAAACTGTAACAATTTAATAAACCAACAATATTTTAATTAACAATTTTTATTACCAATTTATTACTAAATGTTCAAAGAGCCTCCATTTACATTCAGGCATTTCTTAATAATTATTCTTACTTCTACATTAGACGTTACTCTTCTTGACTCATTTTAGAAATTGTTAAATATCTCTGAAACTATGAAATTAGTTATAGAGAATAGTAACATCAATCGATTTTTTATAATTTTCTATTTAATTATGTAAAAACATACACGGTATTACATTAAAAATAAAAAAAGTTATTAACGTCTTAAGTCATCCTAATTTGCCATGTTTTTTTTTAAGTTGTTTTAAGATTCCAAAAATTCAACCCCCATATGCGCAAACATAATAACGACAAAGTTATAGCATTGAGTAAGGAAGTGGAACTTCCTTACTCAATGGTTATAGGCTATTTTCGATTGACGCGCATTTGTAAAAAAATTAATTACTGGAAAACTATTCACTGTAGGTATAGGATATGGTATAGTAATTTTGCTCAGAATTTTATAAAGAATTTAAAAATGTAAAAATACATGGGGTATTTTATTTGAAATAAGAAAGTTGATGTCACTTTCGGTTAAACAGGAAGTGATATTTTGTTTAAAATATTTTTGAAAAATAGACTTAAATGGATTTTAAAAGGTTTTAATATTTCAAATCGATATCTTTTTTCGTTTCCCGGAAACTTCTAATGGATCACGCATAAAAGAAAAATTTCATATTAATTCAAAAATGGTTCCCAAAATAAATCAAATAATTTTTGGCCCATTTAAAAATTTATTGATGATATTTGTTTTCTTTAAATAAATTATTTTTGTAAATATAGGTACAACAAAATATTTTTTTTTAAATAACCGGAAAATATTTTATAAAAATAGACTTAATTGAATTATAAATGCTTTAAAAATTTCAATTTGATATCTTTTTCCATTCCCCAGAAACTTTTAATAGACCACATGTTTCAGCTTTTTACATTTTATCTGAATATCTCCAGATAGGATTAATGATGACCATATTATTATTTTAAAAGATTCTGTCCTATAGGTCGGGTTTTAAAATTTCCGGAAAAATTGAGGCGGCGGAAAAAAACCGTTTTTTTTTTTGGAAAAATTAAGAAATTTTCAGAAAAATTGACTTTTGCATTTGTCTCACTTTATTCAAATGGTAATACAAAAAAGTCAAGTCAATTTTTCTAAAAATTTCCCAATTTTTACATTATTTTGTAATTGTATATTTTCATGTACTTTTTGCAAAAAGACCCAACCGACAGTATATTTAACGTTTACGTTTATTTTATTAAATCAATTGAATTTAATTCAATGTTTAGTTATATTTTTTCTGTAATAAAGGATATTTTTTAAATTAAAATAATGTTGATTGCTACTTTTTTTAAATGTGTTTATTTTACAAAAAATAATTCAATTTTTCCCAAAAAAGCCATTTTTTCCAAGGCCTGGGAAAAAAACGAAAAAAACAGTTTTTTTCCCAATTTTTTTTCGTCACTTTAAAACCCTAGTGCTAGTGAAACTATATCCTTTTCCGTTAACGGAATTTCACCTTTCAAACTAATTATACTTCTAAGATTATTTTTAAGGGGGAAACATTGATGTAGACTAAAAACAAAAATTCCCATTATTTTCTGAACACAAATCATATGGGTGATTCTACAAAAGTTGGACAACTTTATGTCATCAGTCAATAGAGTAGGTATTTTAATATTTTTTGTAAATATTTTAGTATATTACAAAAGATCCAGGTTTTTTTAACTTGTCCACCCAATTTTAATGTATTTTTTTAAAAGCACGTTTGTAGAAAAGCATAATAAATATTCAAAACATCAGTACCTTTGTATCCCATGGAACTGACGACACGGTTCTGATGAATGCATTCATCAGAACCGTGTCGTCAGTTCCATGCTCGATGTTTCGCTTATCTTTTTTTCGCAAACTTCAATTTAAATTCTGTTTGCGCAGAACTTGTTTATTTAATGTCATTATAAACTCATATAAATTTGGTGTGGGTCCCATATCTAATAATTGAGATATCGGTATACCCAAAATCCACCAGCCGCCACTGATGTGTGGTATTATTTGATATTTAATATATAATATGCTCAAACTCGCAATAAATCTTATATTTTCCAATAAATTATGTATTTAATTAGTACCCTGGTATACTTGTCACTTCCCTTGCATTCAAATTTAGAAAAAACACTCTCTAAAAATGAAACAGTGGATTTTCACTGATTGACAGTGCATATTAACTATTTGCCGCAGTGATAAGTATACCACTAGCAATTAGTGAATACTCACTTTTTCATGTAGCGATTTCTTTGTACTAATTTATTTAGTGGAAATTACACTGTACAAATTAGTGAAATAGGTTTAGTTCAAAAAAGTTCAAATTTCACTATTTTATGTCGAGAGTTCCGGAAAAGTAGTGATAATAAAAACACTAATTTGGAGAAGTTAAAATTTCACTAATTTATATTGAAAAACACTAATATTACAGTGAATAATAACTCACTGACGGAAATAGTGAAAATTTCACTGTTTCACTTTTAGAGAGCAGATATTTCAGAAACTGTTTGAAAAAGTGACTGGCCCGGTCTGGAACAGTATAAATATATTTATTATATTATCTATGTTCTCATAACAAAATACTGTTTAATTTTCTCCGAAAACTATATAAACAAAATGAGGCGAAAAGTTGCCCAACTTTTGTAGTATCACCCATATACAAAATATATTTAAGGGGATATTGAATAGTTTACCTATTATTTGCTGTTTTAGGATATAGCAGGACTTGTTGCAATGCCACATAAAGGCAATCAAGTGGCCGTTATGGCAACAGACAAAGGCGCCATAGTCGACATTAAAAACAAAAAACATCTTAGGACGGTACCTAAATGGGGAGGCAGCATTACCAAAGATGGAAAACATGGACTTTTTGCTCCTTCGAGGTAATTTTTAACTCAAAAATTATATTTGTATAGTGTTTTGTATACAGATGATTTTTAAGATTTTTAACATTATTTAATTATTTAAAAATCTTCGTAAAAAGACTTAACAATTAGCAGTTAACTTTTTTATATTTTAGGGGTGGTTTGGAACTATTGGAGCTAAAAAAGGGAAATTCAGTTAAAACATACATCCCAAGAGTGGCAGAAGGAGTATTTACAATAATATGTTTGTTTAATAAAACCGATGAATATGTTTTGTACTATCACAGTGGCAAAAAGACTCTAAGAGTTTTTAGGTAGGTTATAATTTAAAAATATAAATAGGGTATAACTAAAACATAATAGTTATTTATGTATTAAGGGCATAATAAGGTTTTTATGGTCCGAGGCGCTATTTCGAGCCCGAGCGCGTTAGCGCGAGGGCTAGAAAAGCGTCGTAGGACCATAAAAACCAGTTATGCCAGCAATGCATACAAAACTTTATTATTATTTTTAATATATTATTGTTTTTAAAGACGTTTACGTCAAAGAATTTTTGTTATAATTGTCATATTATAATGTCAACTGACATCAGTCAGTTTTAAAGTTTAAAGATAAATGAAATTGAGGAAGCAGCTGAAAAGGCGAAAAATTGCGGCCTGCTGCCGGTAAAATCAAAATCTTTATACGAAAAAACTTACTTAGAATATATCAAATGGTGTAACATTGTTGTTTTTAATTTTTGACGTTTCATTATAGCCCGCAGGGCCATAATAACGCCCGCGGGCTATAAAAAGACGTTTACGTCAAAGAATTTTTGTTATAATTGTCATATTATAATGTCATCGTGCATAAACGTAGTTTATGAATGTACCTACAATTTGTCTTATAAGATTATTTATCTTGAAATGATTAAACACAAAAGTAAAATTTTCACATATTAAAAAAGATGACATGAAGTTTTAATTTGTAATTTTTTTAGAACTGAAGACGCGGAAATGGTAGCTAACTACAGAGTACAAGCTGAACTGACAGCAGTGGAAAGTACCCCAGATGGTAAGGCTCTGGTTCTTGGTACCATAGATGGATGCGTATCAGTTTTGGCAATCGTGGACACTGATAAAAACGAAATGAACCAGTATTTGGCCGATATGCCTTCTAGAGACGCTGGTGTAAGTACCCTTGTATATACCCAGATATCATAATGAGGTTCATAATTCCCTGATAGCAAAATTTGATTTTAAGAATCTTCTAAGAAGATATGACCCGGCATAATGGAATATTCTTAGAACCTTCCCTTATTACTAAGAACTTTTAGAACTAAAGGACTTTTAAAACATTCAATAGATACCCTTTTAACCCTTATGTGCACGGAAAGGTACAGGTGTACCTTTTTAATTTTTGTTATGCAGTAACTTATTTAATTTAATTTAAAAATGGTACATGTTTTATGACATCTTAAAATAAGGAAAGATAATGCCTTTTATGTAAAAATTATAACATTTACCTTACGTAGAAATTTTTTATTTTAATCCCAAACTTATTATCCCATTTCAGCACGGATAGGTACATTCGTACCTATATGTGTTTAAGTTGAAAATTAATAGGGGAGGGAAATACAAACAACAATAAATTCATATACCTATATAATATGAATATATATAAATTCATATATATCTATATATATATATATATATATATATATATACAGTTCAGAAGTGAAACATTTTGTTATGGTTTGAGCATGTTCATCACATATTGGGATTTTGCAAACGCTGCAATATTTTCTGATTTTTCTTTGCTTTTTATTTTTGTTTCGGCAAATATAGCATGATCCCACTACTGGTTTAGGGCCTTTAGATTCTTGAGGTTTATTTTCTGTAGCAAATGATGACCCTGGTGGTACCAGTGGATGCCCCATCATCGATTATAGTGAATTTTTGGTAGAAAATATGTTTACAACATTTGGTATTTGCGAGCGTTTATCAATATTACCCATTGCAAGGCTGCATCCTAAATCTTGATAAAAAAGTTCTTCGGCTATGTGATGACGACATAATTCCCATGTCTTCAAACACTTTATAAAACCGAATCAATACTAAAATATTTCAATGCGTTGAATTTAAACCAAAATAAACAATTCCACAAAACGGCCTACGCAGAACAAAACAATTTTTCAAAGCTTTCAATTCTTTAGAGAGATATACTAACCAAAACACAAAACATTAAACAATTCCAAAAACTTGCTTTCACAAAATAAAAACATGTTTTCTAGTATAAGGTACAATTGTACCTATCTGTGCGGTATCAGTATATTTATTCTCTATGCACATAAGGGTTAATGATGCAATTAGATTCTTAAAACCTTTCTAAAAAGCATCCTAAGAATATTTTAAGAATATGTTCTTAGAAGGTTTCTTATGGAGCTTCTGGGAGCTTTGAGAATTTTTCCAAATATGTCAGATACCCACGTTCTAATATTGTATATGTTGTATTCTACATTCGTAAAATTCTTCAAATACACCTCACTGTTATAATATGACAGTGAAATGTATTTGTCGCCCCCTTAAATTTTGCGACATATTAATTAATATATACCTATTTATTTAAAAATATTAAATAAACAATTTGCAAATTAGAGGTCATGACCTCTAAACCATAAGTTTTATGACATTATTTCATAAAAAGTAAAATTGGAAAATTTTGTGGGATAAGTCAGATTAGATTGAAGTTGAAGATAGTTAGGATTATTATACATAAAAATGTTAATTCAGAAATAAAAAATCGGTATACAAATTAATAAATATTTATTTTTAACATAAAATAAAATACCTATAGTAAAAGTATTTTTGTTATCGAATATTGTTTTAATTTGACAAATAACTATAAAAAAATATTTTGGATTGTGTTTTTTACTTAGTATTTAATACTAATTACTAATTAGGTACTTAAGTATAGGTATACCTATACCTTTATACGTAGTTTATGGTATATTTTACTATTATATAGGTAACTGAACTAAATATGCTTAACAGGAATATTCCTAAATGAACTTTCTATAGCAATTACTTTCTTAACATTCTAAGCATATGTTTAGAGTAGACTAATTTTTATCACTAAAACTTTGCACCTTCTAAGAACCTGCCTATAGGCCAGTTAGAATATTCTTAGGATCATGCTATATGTCTTTTAAGCATGTTCTTTAGAAGAAATATAGCATGATCCTAAGAATATTCTAACTGGAAGGTTTAAAAAACATTCTTAGAATAAAGTGTGCTATCAGGGTTGACGCATATTGCAGTCACAACGTGATTGTAATCCACTCGTATGCAAGCATATATGCATCATTTGCGTCATCAATTGAGGTTCATATAGCCAGCACATGTGATGGTTGAAGAAACATTGTGAAGTTTATAATTTACGCATATTGCAGTCACAAGTGAATCTTAATCCGCACGTATGTCACATGTATGCATCATTTGCGTGATCAATTGAGGTTCATATAGCCAGCACATGTGATGTTTGAAGAAATTTTTCTGGGCATGATTAACAGGTGAATTTTTCAATAAATCAATTTTATGCATGATTAACATTTAAGTTTTGGACTTGCATTGCCATAATTTGATTGTTTTTCTTACGTTTCGATTAGTAATTATCTTTGATTGGCTTCAGTTATTACCTCAAGAGCATTAGAGATAATTACTAATCGAAACGTTGCAACGCGTTTAAGAAAAATAATAAAATAAAATAAAAAAAGATAAAATAAGAAAAACAAGAAAAACAATCAAATTAAGACAAGGCAAGTCCAAAACTTAGATGTTAATCATTCATAAAATTGATTTATTGCGAAATTTTGGTCAATAAGTAATAATCCAAAAGATCTTTTTCTTTGAGTCATTTATTTTAGTTTTTGTGACAATTGTCTACAATTATAGAAAGATATCTTATTTTAATTAAAATTAGGTATCTTTTTACAAATTCATAAATTAATTAATGATAAATTAGTTTGTAAACGTGATCTTAAGATCAACGTGTTAACTCGTTGATCTTAAGATCAATTGAAATTTGGAATTCCAAATAAAATTATGTATATTTTTATACAAATCCAGTCTTTTCACAAATTAACCATATGGTGTAAGTCAATTTGTTAAAAATTTTAATTATAATATGAAGTAAAATCAACAATTTTTGCAAGATGTAGTGTATCTACACTGAGAAAACATGGGACAAATAAACTGTGTAGCCAATACTTTTTATTAATAGTGAATATATTGTTTATTACCTCTAAATAGTTGAAATAATAACGATAAATTTACTTAAGTAAAACTTTATTTGTAAGGAATAAAAATATATTTAGTATAAATAAACAATGCTTCTGTCCCATATATAATTATTCTTTTTATTTGGAAACCATAAACTTTTTTCTCAGTGTAGTATTACATCTACAATTTTGCGATAACTATTTAGCAAAAGTGAAAAGTTTGCAATCATTTCGTGCCCTCATATACCAATCATAAAATAAATATCATATCGCAGCGTTTTTTTATGGAAAACCTATGTCAATTTTCGTTTTCTACGCCTTAAAAACTATGTTTCACTCGAAAAACGCGATATTTTGTCTGGAAAATCTAAAGTTGTCGAACAAGATTTTATCTTTTAGTTTAGGAGATAGGAGTCTCGGGAGTGGCAGCCTTCCCAAAAAATGGGAAAACTTTGAAGTACCTCCGAGTCCAAACGACCCGTGCTAAAATTTTGCAGTAAGCTTTTTTTGCCAACAAAATGACAATACACACTAAATTGTATCACTTTTTATAAGTCGTAACGGCCAAAAAACTGACACACTGCTTCTCGGTAAAATACGGGAAAATTGTAGTTGGAGGGGAGTGGGATTTTTTTTAGGGAAAAACTATGTCGATTTTCGTTTTCTACGCCTTAAAAATTATAGGTTTCTATATTTTCATCCAAATCGGAGTTCCAAAGTTTCACTCAAAAAACGCGATTTTTGATTACTTAAATTTATAAATCGCACATGGGCGACAACAGTGTCATAAGTAGTAAAACCTTAATTCCGAGATAATGACCGTAAAAGATTTTTGAATAATAAAATTCTGACATTTTTGTAAAATTATATTAACTATGAATTCACTACGAATTCACGCGTGAAAATTAAATTCACGCGTGAATTCATATAACGCGACAGATGAGTCCTCAATTGATGCTCAATTTGCCATCACGCGTGAACTTTTTATTTTTGCGCATGCGCTTTTAGAATATGGATTTCATTTTTCAAAATAATTATTTTAACATCTTAAAAAAATACACAAAAACTTGGTATAAAAGGCCATAATTGAGAAGCAATCAGACTAAACCAGATAAATCCATTTAGACTTTTTGAATGGTTCCTATTTCTTTTGTTCAGATAAATCCATTGGAAATATCTATTTCAAGCTAAACTTGTTATCATAATATGATATGATCATAATATTATATAATAATTATTATATTATATACTAATATTAATATTAGTATATAATATATATATTATTATAATAAGTTTATCTTGAAATTCACTTTTCCAATTGATTTATCCGACTAAAAGAAATATGAATCATTCAAGAAGTCAAAATGGATTTATCTGGTTTTGGTTGATTGCTCCTCAATTATAGGTTATACATTACAATTATAACCTTAAGGTTAACTAATTAATTAACTAATTTATAATATACATATATTAATTATTAATGTACCTATAACATATAATTGTGACCTTTTAAACCAATATATATTATGTAATTATATATATTACTATAATATATATAATTATAATAATATATATCAGTAGCGGATTGGGGATTTTGGGTATACCAATATCTCACTTATTAGACGTGGGACCCACTCCAAATTTATAATAGTTTATAATGACATTAAATAGACAAGTTCGGCGCAAACAGAATTTAAATTAAAGTTTGCGAAAAAAAGTTAGTTTTTTGTGTCGCCTTACCTGGCTTCTGGCCCCCCCATTTGGGATAATTCAAATTAAAGTGGTGCAATTTATACTCCACTATAATTTATCGACAAATTTAAAATTTTATTTAAAAAATATAAATATTACAGATTTTATACGATTTTAAATTTTTATTATTTATTTTATTATAATAAAAAAATATAACTAAAATAATAATTCCAAAATTCGCGCGTCAGGTAATATTTTGATATTAGAATATTAATATTCTATTCTGCAGTTTTTAATCATGCAATCCATGTATTTTAAAATAAAATCGATTAAATCACACGAGACTATAATATGAATTCATAATCTACTCACGTGTGAATTACGAGTTCAAGACTTCACGTGTGAAATCATATAGCACACATTATTCACTCACGCGTGATTTCGTATTCACGTTTGTTATCAGTGTAATTACACTGCAAGTTAATATAATTTTACAAAAATGTCATAATTTTATTATTCAAAAATCTTTTACGGTAATTATCTCGGAATTAACGTTTTACTACTTATGACACTGTTGTCGCCCATGTGCGAAATGTTAATTTCATTTCAAAGTTTTTTCATGGCTAACTTGATAAAATAATTTTTTTTAAATATTAATTATTGTGCATTTTTAATTTGGCTACAAAATCTTTCCTGATAAAAATTTCAATAAAATTTAGTATAGGGTCGTTTTGAGGGGTGGTGAATCCAGTGCCGTGCATAGATTTTTTTAAGTTTATATTGCGTTTTTTATTTTTCAAAACTAAGCACACCATATTACTTATATAAGTTAAATTTAGTACAGGGTCGTTTTCACGGATGGTGAATGCAGATTTTTTTTAAGTTTATATTAAGGAACATTGGAGTTGGAGGGGGATTTTTTTATGAAAAAACCAAGCATACTTACTTATATAAGTTAAATTTTGTATAGGGTATATATATAGATACATTTTTTTGTATTTTTTTTAGTGGAAGAAAAAGGTGCAAAAAATGAAGGCACAGACGAGATTTAAGGCAATCGGATCGATTGCTAGGTTGTCAGCGGCATTTGCGGCGGATAGTAATGGAAATAACGCGAATGGGCCTAAAGAAAAGGAGGAGAAGGTTTCTGAAAGCACTGAAGATTCTCAGCAAATGAACGAACTCCTTTCTACAGCTTAGTTGTCGTGTGAGACGCGATATAAAACGGAAATATATTTATAAATAAATTACCTATTTTTCAGTTTTCAAATTTATACCTACATATTTATTATGTACCTATGCATGTATAATAGGTAGTATGTTTTGTAAGCTATATATGTGTATGCAGAATAACTGTTACTCATGAAATAGTCTTGTCAAAATTTAATACCATTCGGGCATCTAACTTTTCCTGTGATTATTTCCCTCAATATAATATGAACCAATCAAAAGCCTTCAATTTTCGAATAAATTTCGTTTAAATAAGCGATTAAATCACTAGACCTTTTTAACAGCGATTAAATTTTAGCCTCCATATTGGATTTTTGTTTACGATTTTATGGTGTTATTTACAAGTTTTAACAAACATTTTTTAAAAAACATTAAAAAATAAGTTATCTAGTTTACGAAATATCAATTATTACTTATTACATACCTTAAATTAATGGAATTTTCTTTAAAAAAATATTTATAAATTTTGACACATACGTCAGATTTTATGAATGGTCAAATAGTTTCCTTTAATTCGACAAATAATCTAGACGTATATCACTCAACCTATAAATTTAATCTGTCAAACTATGCTCAGTAAGTTTTTTATTTGATTTTTCTTTTTGGAAAATAGTTTCATGCAAAATAATTAAAAATAAAACCCCTCGACCGCTACGCGGTCTCGTGATTTTATTAAATTATTTTGCATTCAACATTTTCCAACAAAAACCAAACAAAAAACTACTGAGCCTAGTTTACCCGATTAAATTCTTAGTTCTCGTGATATAATATATGAAAAAAATCGAAAAAACAATTCTAAATAGTAATATTTATATTATTAGTATTATTTATATTATTAGTAATATTTTTTAACAAAATGCATTAGTGCAGGTGGAAAAATCCTCGTCTTCGACTCGGATTTTTGTTGCCAATAGCACTGATGAGAACCATGCATGCTTCTTGTTAAAATATTACTTATAAGTAATTGCTATAGCAACGTGATTTTTCGATTTTTTTCGGAAAAATTAGATGCCCTTATGATATTAGGTACTACGATAAAACCCATTGGTTGCTATGCAAAAAATAATTGTCAATGTTGACGTTTCTAATTTTAAAATAAAAATGTCAAACATGCGTTTTGGTCCAAAAAAAATATTCGTGAAATAGTCTGGCCGACCACTCGTGATAAAATTTTCCCTGAATTTTTATTTTTATTCCTTGGAAATTTCGCTCGTGGCATTAATTTAAAACACTTTTACAAGAAAAACCATTCGTATAAAAATAACAAAATTTGTAACATTTAATGTTATCGGTAAAATTTTACCACTAAGTGGTTTTATTTATATATTATATTTATATATTTAATATTTTATTTTTATGATAAAATTATTTATACTTATTAGCGTTATCTGGCACGCCGTTTTACTTTTTAATGACATCAAAAAATTAACTCAAAACAAAAATTACCGAAATTAAAAATTGCCTAGAAAATATAAACGTTCATAAAAATTACTAAAATAAATTTAATTATAAATTAAAATCTACCAATTTATTTTTTGGTGTATCAGATAAGTTTCCATATATATTTACATCATTCTGCTGTGATCTATATTTTTAAGCCTCAGTTTTTATTGTATGAATATTTTTTTTATATTCAAAAAGGGTGTTTATATCTAAACAATACCATTTCATTTATTAATTTAAAATTAAGTTAAAGTAGAATATTTATTTTGAAATAAAAATTAGACAAGATTTAAATCTGTAAGCGCATGACGAATTTTCTCGATGAAAAATTCGATGAATTAAAATGTTGGTTATCACTCTAAAACAGAATTTTAATTTGGCGCGAGTGCATAGTGCGGTTGTGTTACGTACTACTGCCACCAAGCGAAATCACATAACGTCGAAGGTACATATGAGCTTATATAAGCTCGAAAATAAATTAGGCAACAGTGCAGTCCAAAATAATCCACAAACTTAACATGATAATCTGATTAAAAGAAATATTTCAGAAAGGTGCTTAAATGAAAATTCATATTGCTAGATTTAAATAACATAATAATTAATAACAACTATACCACAACTTTATTCCCGAATTTAAATTGTTTTAAACAAAGTGTTTTAAACAACAAAATTCGTATTAAAAGTAAATATTAAAATTTTTAAAAATAATAATAAAAATAAAATTGTCATCAATTCTTATTAGTCAAATGAAATTTTAAGTAATATTAAAAACATTTAAATATTAAAACAAATATTTCGTGCAAAATATTTGTGTGTCGAAAAAGAAACTTATCACTTTAATTTCTAACAGGTAAATTGATTTTTATGTCGACAAGTAATAATAGAAATTAATTGCGACATAATGATAATTTCAGTAATACTTTTTCTTAAATGTTGCGAAGCTTGAATTAACTGGCTAAGAAATTCGATGAATTAAAATTTTGGTTTACATAATTTTAATTTGACTGCTTGTTTCTCCAAGTAGCGCCTTATTAAAATTATCTCAACCAAAATTTTAATTCATCGAATTTTTTAGTCAGAAAATACGCCATTCAGTTCCAGAATAAAAATTACTTTAATTCTTATTCTGTGCTTAAAATTGTGTACTCAATATACCAAGACATCATAAAAATTTTACTTTAAATTGTTCAGTCAATTCTTAAAAAAGCAACTTGAATTAATATTTATAAATATAAATAAATAAAGCTATAGCTTTAATAAACATGACATTAAAAAATAAAACGGCGTGCCATAGCGTTATATTTTAAAATGTTTTATAAAATTATTTAACCGACTATTTCCCTCGTCTTAATTTCCACCAATCACAAACACGCAATTTTGAATTACAAATGGTTTCTAGGTGAAAAAACTGTGTGACAGCACCTGTCAGCAGTTTATTCGAGTTTACTCGCGGCAAAACTTGACAGCTGTTGTCACCAAAAATTGCAATTTATATTTTAATTGTTAACTGTTACTCATGAAATAGTCTTGTCAAATACCATTCGGGCATCTAATTTTTCCTGTGAAAAAAATCGAAAAAACACAATGCTAAGTAATATTTTTTAACAAAATGCATTCCTGCAGGTGCTAAAATCCTCCTCTTCGACTCGGATTTTTGTTGCCACCAGCACTCATGCTTTTTGTTAAAATATCACTTAGCAACGTGTTTTTTCGATTCTTTTCGGAAAAATTAAATGCCCTTATGATATTACTTACGAATATTTGTATTACTTAAGTTATTATGTTATTTAATAATAGATTAATGAAAAACCAAAAATGTAACGTTTCAATTAGTTCCACTTTACTTATTTGATTCCCACTCATTTAAAACAAGTCATGACTGTGGCAAGTGGCACAGTGCTACCCATAGACACCCTTGTCTCTGGTGTTACCAGCGTTAAATCCACCCTGGTTGAATCCTTCTCATATAACAAATATACGATCCTTCCAGAGTCTGGTTACCAGACTCAGTCTAGTAACCAGACTGCCCACAGAACATAATTATGAGAGACTGCAGTGTTGCCAGAAATGCAGAATTTTCTTCAATATGCAGAATTTTAGCCTACATGGAGAGCTAATGAAGAAAAGAAGAATATTTTACAAAAACCACTACAATATGAAGAATTTTTTAAATTCACATGTTTTTTTCTTTTTAATTTTTTTTCAATTTTCTAAATTATTTAATTCTTTAACTCGATTTTAACACTGTTATATGATTTAAAATTTAAATGTAATTATTTTATTCATTTCGTATGCATTCTGACATGTCTCGGTAAAATGGTATAAGACTCGAATTGCATCACTGGTGCTACACTGGGGAAGCCCCGAATTTTAATAGATATGATTGGTATAAAATAGGTATATTTATTTTTTTTATAATTCATAAATCATAACTCAATAAAATATAATATACCTACTATATTATAAATTATAATATACCTACTATATTATAAATTATAATATACCTAGTAGGTAGATTTTCCAAAATCCTCGAACAGGGTGGCTCTGTGAAGTGCCAAGTGAAGACACAATGGTGTAATGCAATACTTTATAGGGGTGTTTTCAATAATGAATGATATGAAAATAAAAAAACGAAACAGACTTCAAGAAAATACTTTGAATTCATCGATTAATTTCCTTTGCGTATTGCGTACCCATTTTAAAGATACAGGTACAAATTCTGCAAAAATGTCTGTCACCAAAAAACATTTAGATTTAATGAAATTAAATAATTTATTTAATTCCTAAATCATGGTGTAGGTAGTTTTTTGTCCTGCCTATAAAATTAATTCATTTTCTCTAATTTGTAATACCTTTTTTACCATAAAAGATATTTGACTTTTAAAAATATTTTTACCTACTATTTGTACCTAATCCAGTCAGAAGGTTTTTTATCTAATGACGTTTTACATCTCTGCAGAAATATGAAGAATTTTTAAGGTTAAATTGAAGAAAATTGGTATATATCACTGAGAGACTGTCTCTCTTCTCTTCTCTTAGTTAGTTCCAGTGTTTATTTTTTTAGTACCAGATGGCCCTGTCAGTTTGTACTAAACATATACTAAGTATATCGTACTATAATAAATTGTAAAATTTTGTAGGTACTTTAGGTAATATAGATTAGGTATAAAATTTCGTTGTTGAGACCGGCCGAATCGGATGTTTGGTTATTTTGATGATGATTTTATTAAATAAATGTAACGGCCAAACATTCGGCCTCGGCAGAAATTAAGCCAAAGCCTTTTTTCTACTGGGAAAATTGGGATTTACAGGCAATATGTTTAGCCTGCCAAAATTATTTTTAAGACAAACTGGATCAGAAAAATAATTTGTAGTAAACCCGTTTTGCAGTGCAAGGCCTACCTATTTATTTGAGAAGTACTGACGGACTAAAAAATCAAATTTATTTCTAGATCTAGTGCAAACTTATCCAATACTTCATGATCCAAGTGAATAAGAAGATTAATCTATATAATTATACCTAATCTTCTTACAAGCGAACAAATTACTTCATGAAATATTTTATGTGGTTGAAGTTGGTCTTTTTAAATATCTGGTGATATTAGGTGTATCTTTTCTACAGATGGAAAACATCTTTTTTTTATTCTGTCTGCAGCACTCAATGTAGGGGAAATAGGAACATCCTTTCAACAATATCCAACTGAGGGTGTGAGTCAATGCTGTCCAAATGTTTTTGGATTCGAGTAAGAAATTTTTTTTTTCTCTCTTCCAAAGACATGTTTGAATTTGCTTCCTTGCTCAGTTGTGTTAGGATCGTTTCAGTTTCATCATCAGCATTGTGGCTCATATGAATATGTAAATCATTTGGCATCCCTTCACCATCACCTATAAATTATTTAAAATAGAAAATTGTTCATACCAGAGGTCGGTAAAAATTGACGATTTTTCAAAAAATTGGTAATATCTTTTTAAAAATTTATAAAAATTATATTAATAATTTCCTTTGTGAAATTATCAATTTTTTAAAAATGAATAATTTCCTTGAAATCAACAATTTTTATAAAAACTAAATTAAATAAAATTATACATTAAATAAAATTATACATTTTATTTTTTGTATGTAATTCTATTTATAATATTAAAATGTACTTTTTATCCAATGGAAAATACTTTTTATACCATATAAAAAAATGTTTTTAAAATGAAAAAATATTTTTCATTTAATAAAAAAGATTTTTTTATCCAACGAAAAAAATATTTTTATTAAAAAAAGTTTTTTATTAAAATTATTTTTTATTTCGTTAAAAAATACTTATTATCCAATTATTATTACTATTAAAAAAATACCTTTTATTCTATGAAAAATACTTTTTATCCAATGAAATACATTTTATTAAATGAAAAAAAAATTTATCCAATGAAAAATACTTTTTATCCAATGAAAAATAATTCGTATCCAATGAAAAATACTTTTTATCCAATGGAAAATATTTTTTATCCAATGAAAAATACTTTTTATCAAATGAAAAACACTTTTTATTCAATTAAAAATAATTTGTATTCAATAAAAAAATAATTTTTATCCAATGAAAAAATAATTTTTATCCATTGAAGAAAAAATAATTTAATAAAAACAAAATGTTTTTATGCAATGAAATATTTTTTTATCCAATGAACAAATATTTTTTTTTTATTTGATGAAACTAAGTTTTTTTAGTCAGTTTTTTTAGAAAGTTGTTCATACATACCATCATCATCAGCAATGCTCTGTTCATTGGTCAAATTCTTCCTGAATTGAGCAAGAAGATGTATGTGTTTGCACATGTTAAATTTAATTGATGAATCCATACATGTGCAATGATATCTGTGGAGGCAAATATTACAGTCTGAACAAGTCAGCTGACATGTACATGAAGTATTTATTTCCTGGATGTAATAAAGTTCATTGGTACCACTAGAAGGGATTTCCCAACCATTTTCCGTTGGAATGATCAATGACGGATCTAATTTGTCAATATTTTTATGTCGAGCGCGAATATTTTTTAGTTTACTCGATATTTTCCCCTTATTCATTACAACAAGCTGATCATTGAGTTTATCTCTCACAAATCGCATTAATGCTGCAATGCCCTTATCAAGTCTCTTGACTTTTTTTCCTTTCAGATAAATGTATTTTATTGTTTTATGCATCCGCTCTAGATACATATTGTTAATCCCCGAGTGTAACCGGCAGCAATAGGCCCAACATTTGTAATTATTCTGGTAATTATCCTTGAAATATTTGATGAAGTCACTGGTTTCGGGATCAGACACTCTACTGCAAAATTTCTCGAGCATTATCTTGAAGGCTACGGCGTCTCGTTCCTCAAGAAGCGTTCTTATTTCTTTGTAAATTATCACCTGCATTAATTGGGAATTATTGTTGAATTATGTGGAATGATATTGCACCTACAAACATACCTGTTTTTCTTTTGAAGCAATTTTGATTAAATTTTTGCGCCAAGCACGGTCCGTATGCCACGTGCAGAAAAGCCTATAAACGAAAATATAGTTTTATGTGGGTATATAATTATTTACTCTTAAGGCTACAGCTACAGTTGTGATTCAGAGAAACAATGGAATTCAAAAACTATAAGGGATATCGACAACTTTTGTTTACTGGATTTGTGACACACAAGTCTAATTACCTTACCTATTTTTTTTAAGAAAAAAAAAAGAAACATGCCCTTTTGGCCTCAAGTTTTCTTTATGGCCAAAAAGGCCTTTTAAAGTATGTTTTTTGGCCAAAAGGGTGTCTACAGATCCGGTAAAAAAATTATGTTGATATCACTTATAGTTTTTGAATGCCATCCCAGATTCCCCGCCATTCAGGGTTGAATTTTTTACAAAATATAAAATGTATAAAAAGAAAGAATAAAAAAACACTTCTAAAAAACCCTGCAGGCTTTTTAGAGTGGGGTTTACCCACTTGGCAGCCATTTCTCACTACAGCTGAGTCTTGTGAAAATTAACAAAGAAAATGAATTACAGAATATCATACATATATGTACATACCTCATTTCAGGAAAATGCATTACTTCAATCCATGAGTTAAAGTAGGAATCTGCTAGGTCTGACATAAAAGTTTTCGGTTTTAAGATCCCTGTCTTTGCCTTAATCTGTGAGAAAAATATAGTCATAACGTCTTTGTCAGATCTATTCGATACCATAAATGCACATGGAAATCCTTCTCTAATGTTATCAATTACAAGTAAAGTGGTGAGCTCGAAGTCATAGTTGTTAATACCATGAGTGCCATCCAGACACACACAATCATTTCCATATTTATTTAACAAAGCACATTGAGCTGGAGTCATAATAATCAGGACAAAATCTTCTTCTTTTAAAACTGGATAACTTTCCATTAAACTCCCTTGTTGTTTGTAAAATAAAATACAGTCACCAACACGTTGCATTTCAATCACCCACGAGTCGATGCTTACTGCATCATTGGGATGCCGCTCCGAGGAATCAGACAAATTAAAAGATGCCTCAATATTAAAAAGGTCTTTTCTTGTCAATAAGTGGATTCTTTTTAAAGTGTTATCTGTTATTGAATCCCGGACTTCGTTTAAAATTTCATCGAAAGGTATTTTTGATGCAATTTTGGTTGCTATATTTTTTCTTTCCAATGTTGTTAGTTGAAGGTGGCCTATTTGTGCTTCATGTCCAATGTGAGTTTCAATAAATTCGGCTTTAATGCTTCCATCATTATTTACAGTCACTTTAATGTTTGATGGACAATAACCATTAATTTTACTGGATCCTTGGGTTTTCAGGTGTCTTCTCCCTTTCCCTTCAGGTAAGTAGTTTCCTGACCGGTGACAAATGTAATTCATGCAAGTATGGCTCTTGAACGTTCGTGCTTTTTTTTTAACAAATTTAGCATTAGTCTCATTTTCCATACCGCTCTTCCATTGATTGAATGCTTCAAAAGATGAAAAGGTTAAGTTTTGGGATCGAATTGGTATTTCATGAATGCTTTTAAAATGAGTTAACATTTCACTCTTGAAACTAGAACGGCGGTTGCATAAAGGGCATTTGTTGGAATCTCTTGTGGTCAATGTTTTATTCCCATTTTCTGTGGAGATTGTTAAATTTTCACCATTTGTATTATTACAATGTGTTTTCACATGACGTTGCAAAGTTTGTTTATAATGGAAACCTTTCTTACAGTTATTGCAATGGAAATTATGATTTTTATTTTTATTATAAAGCAATGGAACCAGTGCTGTCACATTTTCAGGGTGGAACTTTCTTGCGTGTTTTCTCAAATTGGATAGTGTACTGTAATTATTTTTACATAAAACACACTTATGCTGCTGTTGTTCCATTATCAGAGACAGTTGTGTCTGAATAGGAGTAAAATTTACTATCACAATTATAAACTATCACAAGAATAAACCAAGCGTTGGTCACCAACATTTAAAACAAATATATTTTATTACAAAATTAGGTTATGACAGAGACAACACGTTATAAGGCGGTTCGTGCCAGCACGTGAGAAGTCGGGATCGATGTTGGGTCACCGACTATAAGTTAGCTATGTATCTTGATATTTTTAAACAAATTTTAGGGGATTTTCTGTCAATTATCCAATTGTCATATGTTTGTTTCGCATACATGAGAAAAATATTGAATTTAGAATATTCATACTGTGAAATATTTTGTCTTCACGCAATCTAGGCAAAGCTACAACTTAAGTTCCCTATTTTTCGGTGTAAAAACACTCAAGGTAAGTAAACATACGTTTAATTCGTCGTTTAAGGGGTTTCCAAAGGTTTTCTATTATTTTTTACAGCTTGCCAAAGTAATAAATTCTTTAATGGAGCACATACCCAGTAAACATTTGTGATATCACGAAAAAGTCACGACGTGACATGTCACAACTTGATATCCAATTGCTGGCACAGTGATTAAGTTTGTCGTTTTATGTCAAGCAGTGACACGCGCGTGATCTTTTTATGTCACGAAGTGACCCCGCAGGGACGAAACTTTTCATTTAAATGACATTACTTTAATTTGTTCATAATACGTTAATTACGTATTATGTTATTATTGTTAGACAAAGACTTTTTTCTTTCCCCAAAAATATATAACTTCACTTTATATTTGTTTGCAATTTTGCAAGCGAAGAAAAAAATTAAATTCGTTTCCGTTTTATTTGTAATCTATAAATAATAATAAACTTAAAAAAGCAGTATCATACCCAAATTTTATTTTAAATATCTATTTGGGATGTTCCAGCGCCGCCTCTGGATTAACTAAATTTAATTTACATTAAATTAAGCCCTTTGCCTACTACTAAAAACCTAAAAGGTTTTATCAAATTCGCCCAAAAAATAAATAATATGTGTCACCCTGTATACATGTAGGTATTATACTTATAGGATACTTGATGCACCCTGTATAAAGGTAGTGTGCAAAACTTGTCTTATTATTATTTTATTTAAATAAACGTTGACTGTTAATATTTTAGCCCATAATTTTGTTTCACCCAAGGCCGCAAGTATGTTGAAGCTGTGATATACGATAAGAGGGTCGTCGCTATTGTTACTATCGCTATAGCGATGCAACGTGTTTTAAAAGACGTTGCATCGCAATTAACGATAGCAACGACGCTTTTTTCGTTTATCACAGCTCCAACATGTTTTAAATATTCCCCTGCACTTTCGCTCGCGCATGCGCGCTAGCAATGTCACGGAGTGATATCCCATTGAGTGCGTATTGCGCTTGAATGTCACGACTTGATATCCCATTGATTGTGTATTGTAGAAACATATGAATGCGCCAGTGATATCACGATGTCACGACGAGATTTCGGAGTGATTTCAATACGCAATCACAAATGTTTACTGGGTAGTCGTTAAAAACGAACCTGAAGAAGTAGTTGACCATTCCAAAGGTGATTGGATGAATTATAATAAACCAAGACCAACCTCTGCTGACAAAGAAATGCCTTCAACCTCTGGAATAACATTAAAACCAAAAATTAAAGAACAACGGGATGATAACAACTACTCAATTGATTATGATAAATTTGGGGTGAAAAAAGAGTCAAAAACGTCGACAGATGAGGAAGACAATTTTGATGGAGTCGAACTGAAATTTGAAGACAAAGAAGAAATGTTATTTGACAAAGGGTAGGTAAGCATTGTTGCCATTTATTGCATTATGCCCATAAAAACAGTTGTTTGACAGTTCACATGCTGAAACATGCTTCAAGTGACAGCCTTAACCCTGAATTCCTACCCAGCCTGCTTATTTCTATATCCTAACAGCATACACAATAATTAGGTAATTAATATTTTGTGTTAAATATTTATTTTTTGCCAATTTATTTATTTTTCAGCTAAAAAGGGAGAATTATTCATGATTTAAATTTCAATGTAAAAATGTGTAAATACTTAACCAAGTAAGTTAAACAATTGCATAAACAATAAACAAATGCATTTGGAATTAGCCGCTTTTTAGTTGTGAACAAATTAATTTAGTTTCTTTTGTTTAAAAACAAATCAGTTTTTACTTCATATGAACAAGTCTGCCTGAGCCAATTATAAAACCTTCCCTATTCCAGTAACACTTAAAGGGTTAATAAGTTTAAATTATTTTTTCTACTCCCACCTTTAAAACGCCCTTTATTGTACATGTTTCCATGACACTAAGTGACCTTTTAAATAAACATTGACAAGTTGTGGCTTTATGGCGCTTTAGTCACAGGCTGAAGTTAGTTTTAAGTTAGTTGACAGTTGTCAAATGTCATACAATCATTAAAATAAAGTGCCTTTCTTGTAAAATAATACTAAATGTAAAAATTATTTTATTATCTCAATACAAAAATACAAAAGTATTAAATAGTTTCTCAACGCCAATATTTAATATTAAAGTTTATATGAACATTGTACTGACCTTTTAATTTCGCCGGCAGTAAACTATAACTTAAATTCGGGCACGGACTCCACTGTAAAGTGCTCATAAAAAATTTTCTTTACTTTCACTGTGAAAAACTGTCAATTTTCAAGAAATACATTTCGATTTATAACCTTTATAATTGTGTTAATAAAATGTAAAAATTTAACATTTGACGGTGACCACAGATTCCCTATTGTTTCATAGATGGCGCTCTATACAAATTTTTTATTTAAATCATTTGTTGAAGAAAAAGTAAAGTACCTATGCACCTTGTTTATAAACTTTTCTATACACTCACTCTTAAGCTCGCTCGTGCCTAAATTAAATTCGTGTATAAAATGGCGTTTATCAAACTTGATACATAATATACTATTTACACCCTAGTTAATAATCAATCACTTTATTAGTTAGTGTTGACATTAACAAAATTTAATTTTTTTATTTTCTGTCACAATCACAATTGTGAGCTTTATTATGTGTTGAAAATTTATCCTATGCTATTTTTGGCAGATACATCCTAACTTTGCCACAAAGATATTTAAACATACCTGCCCAATATTTTGGACCTAAAATCAACCATAGTGATGAAGAAAGTGACAATTCTGATCATGAAGATGAAAGTGAAGATTTGTTGTGTAATATTAAGGAAGAAGGAAGGGACAGTGACTTTTCTGGAGAAGATGGTAAGGATTCCTCACACAATGAAGACATAGAAGAAAAATATGAGGATGAAACCATGTTTGAGGCTGAATATCATGATGAATCACTGTGAGTTATATTTTGTAATTGGCATTGGAAAAATTGTAATGTTTCTAATTTCATTTAATGTCTTATGGTTTAAATCCCCAATTTTGTCACGATTTTGTGTTATCAAAAAGAAAGACTAAAGTTTTGGCTTTGGCATGCCCCACAGTGTTTCAATTCTGGAAAATATCGGCAAAACCTCAAAAATTGACTTTTTTCAGGTAAATTTTGAGTTAGATGGGTAGTTAATACCTGTCTCCATCCTGTATTGAAAATTATATAAAATACGTATATTTTGTCTTGTACATTAGTTTAAACTTAACGCTTTCAGTTGAAGGTACTTTACACGCGATCGCTGCGAAAAATTGTTTATTGTTTAAAAGTGAATAACTTGTGTTTGGTGTGTCCGATTGTTATGCGGTTTGATGAAGGGTGATCTTCAAGGTATCTAAAATTCAGATATGTATTTGTTTTTCGTAGATTTTGCTTGTACAACGGGTTATTGTAACCGACAAGATCGGTCTGTTAAAATCGCAAACTTTGAATCGAGCTTTTAGAACAATGGAGCTACAAAAATTGGAATGAAGACATCAGTTCAAGATCCGTTGAATAGCTTAGAGTTTTGTCTATCAAGCCATAAATAAATTATCTGCCCCAACTTGCCCCCGGCTCTTTAAAACTACATGTTTTTGGGCGCTCAGGCACGGTTGTGGTAAAAAACCTCGCGATTTTAAGCCTATGTCGAGCGCGTATCTGTGTTTACAAAATATAAGATTTTTTTTTATTTCTGGGTTGCGTTCATGACGTTTACTCGATTCACTCGGATTTAACTCAAAACGTTTATTACAACAGCGATGTCTAGACTTTCACTTGCGTAAATCGTTCGTGACTACTAAGATATTTAACACCGATTTTACATATTTAACCCACCTCTTGTAGGTGCGTTAAAACAACTCCGCATGCGCATTGTAGTGTGTTAATGTTATTTGTGTTGACAATTTTTTTAGCGAATTAAGAAATCGTTGCTAAAATATTAAGTAAAAGAAATAATACAAATTTAAAATACTAAATCTGTTATATTTAAATTTTATAAATAAATTTTGAAAGTTTCTCGGGAGAAAACGATGGAATATGTTTTCCATTGGCTTATGACATCTTCCGATCCGTATATTTCTAGCTTCAGAAAAATTGCTCCGAAAAAGAGCAAATCTTTGCCCCGCGAAGCAATAAAACTGTTGCTATCTTCTGATGGTTTCCCATGCTCTGCTAATGATACAACGAGCGAATCCAGTGACGGAGATTGTTTAATATATACGTAGGTATTAAATATATTTATATATATTTATATATTATAATATCATATAAATGTAATTATGGTAGGCAGTGGACTGTATAACTGTGAGAAATAGGGGATGGTGGTGTTAGTTGACTGAATTATGTTACAAGATAAAACGTGGGCAGTAAGAATATTAATAAAGTCCTACCTTGTGGCTGGTGCTGATGACGACACTCAGGGCCCTGGTCTGGTTTCTGGCTGTCAGCGTTGGTTTCAAGCGGTTGAGATGCACAAGCGGGATAAAGCGGGATTAAGCGGTATAAAGCGGGTATAATGTCGCGTGGTAGATCACTCTTGCGCGGGGATGCTCGCCGTTCGAACTCTTATTAATTAATATACTTACGCCCTCACGCGGTTAAATGGGTAATTAAAAATAGTTGCGATAAACATGCGCGTTGGGGGGCAATAAGCTAAATATAATATTTAAATAAATGTAATCAAACTAAACAAATACTAAACATTTCGCGAAGACGAAACAAATTATAATAAACTAAATTAAGCTATTTTATAAAAAGATGTTACATTTTAAAAAGAACCTCTTACGGGTTTTTAATTAATTTCGACAATATTTGATAAAAATGTCCGCCATTTAAGGTCCACCATTTTGAATTTTAGAATTCTGATTCCAGATTCATTATCAGCGACCACAAAAACCCCTGTATGTTGATTTTCAATTAATTCCGTCAATTTTTTTACAAATATGTCCGCCATTTTCGATCTACCATTTTGAATTTTGGAATTCCGATTCCAGATTCATTATCAGCGACCCCAAAACCCCTGTATGGTGATTATCAATTTATTCCGTCAATTTTTTGACAAATATGTCCGCCATTTTGGATCTACCATTTTGAATTTTGGAATTCTGATTCCAGATTCGTTATCAGCGACCCCAAAAACCTCTAAATACGGATTTTTAGGAGAATCCGACTACTCCTTGATATTTAACCGAAAATTTCGAGAATTGAAACACTGTGCGACCCTTAAAATGAATTTAAAAGTGCTAACTCATAAGGATTGACGATTGCTGCTAGATTTAAGTTATTATTTGAAATAATTTATTTCTTTGAACAGAAATATTAAAAATTTAAAATGGTATAAAATCTGTATAATTTGGATTTTTAAATGAAATTTGTCGATAAACTATGGTTAATAATAAATTGCACCAATTAAATTTATTTTATATTTGTTGGGGGCGCCATGGGGCCAGTATACGGCCGTGCAAAAAGTTATCTTTTTTTCGCAAACTTCAATTTAAATTCTGCTTGCGCAGAACTTGTTTATTTAATGTCATTATAAACTCATAAATTTGGTATGGGTCCCATAACTAATAATTGAGATATCAGTATACCCAAAATCCACCAGCCGCCACTGAATTTAATTTAAAAATATCATTGATGATGACTTGTTTCTGTTTATTATTCTCTATTAGGGTAAAATTAAAAGTCAGTGTAGGTATACAGTTTATAGTTTTAAAAATATCCTGACATTTACAGGAGTGACTGGCAATTTATACTGTTTTGTAAACTTATTCTGAATAAAATTTTATATAAAAATTGTTGAAATGTAAAATTAAATGTTTTTGTAGGACCAACAGTGAAATACTGACGGAAATAGTCCTCCCAAAAGCAGAAAAAGGTACGTTTTTTTAAATTTAAAATTGTCCAGTCCCTGAAAAAAAATGTTTAGGGACCCAATTTTTGTTTGTATTTTGCACGGTGTGCCTGAACGAAGTTTAAGTCACATAAAAATGCCGCCAAAAACTGATTGCAGTTTCTTGTTCGGGACCCTTTGGTGACTTAAAAATGATATTTACCATTTACCTCCTCCTTTCGAAATTTTTTGAAAACTCATGTTTTTTTTTAATTTTTGTTTATTTCAAAGTCTACCTTCGACAGAGTACACATTTGTACACCGATTTTTATAAAATTAGAGTATATTATTGGGGAGAGAATACTTTTTAATACTGTTCACATCATTTGATATACAAGGTGTCCCTAAACTTAGTGGCATAAATTTAGGAGCAGATTAAGCAGGTCAAAATAAGACGAAAATCTAAATATATATTTTTCCTAATTACGTATGTATAAAAGATACAGGGTGATAAAGTGTTACTTATTATATCAGTTTTTTTAATATAACTTCTACTATGGTAGACTTGGAAAGGTGATATTTTACGAACACGGCCATTTCAAGCGCGCGAAACGCACGAATTACAAAACTGTTTTTATAAAAAAAATTGTAGATTATTTATTATATAATATTTTGGCATCAAAATTGGCAAAAATATTCTTCTTTTATTAGGTTATACATTAAATAAAAAAAAACTCAAGAAATATCTTATGAAAGTAGATATAATTTTAATAATTGAAAGGTGTGGACGGGACAAAAAAAAGATTTATCTTGTCCCGTCCATCCCTGTCAATTATTGAAATTATCTCTACTTTTATAAAATATTTCTTGCGATTTTTTTTATTTAATGTATACCCTTATATTAGAAGAATTTTTTTGACAATTTTGATGCAAAAATAATATATAATAAATTAGCTACCATTTTTTTTATAAAAACAGTTTTGTGATTTGTCCCGTCCATCCGCTTGAAATGGCCGAACAGTCACTTACTACCAAAACACATATTCACACATAATTACAATTGTTCGAGTAAACACAGTGACGTAGAAACAGGGGTTACTTAAGCTTATTGTCCCATACAAACTTTGAGATTAGGTTTTTATACCATTTTTTGCAATTTTTCGATTACTCAGTTCTAGGGTGGAGTGAATTTTTTTAAATTTATTAATTGATTTTTCCTATATTATTAATTGTTGACTAAAGGCGTAAAATGAATAAATATCGAAAAAATATTCCAATTTTTTAATATCTTGAGGTGGCGCATCTGTCTCGAATTTTTGAAAATTCTAAAAAAATATTACTTTAATCAAAGTAATAAAAATAGCATTATTTATAAATAAAAAGTTTATTTTAGTAAAATTAACGTGAAACGTAAACATATTTAATAGTAAATCATATGCTTTAAGTAACTTCAGGAGTGTTTATTGGTAGAAATGAGATCTTCTTTTTTGCGAAAATACTGACATTTGGTATCAAAATTTGGTAATTATTTTCTGACTTTAATTCTTGTTCTGATGAAACCATTTCTTGCTTCCGATCCACAAACCGAGACTGAAGATTCAGTATACTGGTTATAACCAGTTTTACACAGCGTTCCACTGCTTGGGTGTGACACTGAAATTTTTGGAAGTATAGAAAATGGTCAACCGAAGAAATCATATCGGTAATTTCTGTCATCGTATTTCATAGTCATAGGTGGTTCAGTCACCTTTTCTGTCGCCCAGTGAATTAACTGGTACAAACGTAATGCTTCAGTATTTAGTTGTGGAAGCTTTAATTCCCGTAATCTCGAACATTTTGATTCTTTTCTCGCCTTTAATATTTTCGGCAATGCTAGTTCTCTGATCGATAGATATATTGTAGGTAACATAGCAAGTAATAGGTTTTCGGGATAAATATTTCGCTGAATATTCTTTATAACTATAGTTATAAGGCCTTCAAGTTTTTCTGTAGGTGTAATGCTCTTTTAGTCATATTAAATATGTGAATAGGACCATGTTTGCACGTAGGCTTGGTGTTGATGTAAAACCACGTTGGCATACACTTTCATGATAAAAGTAGCCAATTCTTTTAGGTTTTCCGATGGATTTGCTGTCCCCCCATATAAACTATTAGCCCACGTCAGCCATAGGGAATGTGCTAGCTTGCCTGGATCTTTGTTAGCTATATATAGCTATAGCTAATATTAGCTATAGCTAATATTTATCCCGAAAACCTATTACTAGCTATGTTACCTACAATATATCTATCGATCAGAGAACTAGCATTGCCGAAAATATTAAAGGCGAGAAAAGAATCAAAATGTTCGAGATTACGGGAATTAAAGCTTCCACAACTAAATACTGAAGCATTACATTTTTACGAGTTAATTCACTGGGCGACAGAAAAGGTAACTGAACCACCTATGACTATGAAATACGATGACAGAAATTACCGATATGATTTCTTCGGGTGACCATTTCCTATACTTCCAAAAATTTCCGTGTCACACCCAAGCAGTGGAACGCTGTGTAAAACTGGTTATAACCAGTATACTGAATCTTCAGACTCGGTTTGTGGATCGGAAGCAAGAGATGGTTTCATCAGAACAAGAATTAAAGTCAGAAAATAATTACCAAATTTTTATACCAAATGTCAGTATTTTCGCGAAAAAGAAGATCTCATTTCTACCAATAAACACTCCTGAAGTTACTTAAAGCATATGATTTACTATTAAATATGTTTACGTTTCACGTTAATTTTACTAAAATAAATGTTTTATTTATAAATAATGCTATTTTTATTACTTTGATTAAAGTAATATTTTTTTAGAATTTTCAAAAATTCGAGACTGATGCGCCACCTCAAGATATTAAAAAATTGGAATATTTTTTCGATATTTATTCATTTTACGCCTTTAGTCAACAATTAATAATATAGGAAAAATCAATTAATAAATTTAATAAAATTCACTCCACCCTACTCAGTTCGGCTACTATTAAAAAGGTGTACCTCTCAAACTTCGATAAAATTAACCGTTTCCGAGATATTCGAGATTACAATAATTGTTATATCGCATTAAAGGACTAAAACAAATTTTTTAATTTAAAAAAACTACAATTTTTTTTAATGTGACGGTCAGCGCAAAAAGTCCCGAGGCTCATGAAATGCCTTTTTTAGTTCTTTCAATTAAAAAATAAAATTTGTTATCATATACCTTTTAATCCTTTTAAATAATACGATATAACAATTATTGTAATCTCGAATATCTCGGAAACGGTTTATTTTATCGAAGTTTGAGAGGTACACCTTTTTAATGGTAGCCGAACTGTTTAATCAAAAAATTGCATCAAAAACCTAACCTCAAAGTTTGTATGGGAGAATGAGCTTAAAGCAACCCCCGTTTCTACGTTACTGTGTTCACTCAAACAATTGTAAGTATGTGTGAATATGTGTTTTGGTAGTAATTACTTAAGTGACTGTTCGCAAAATATCACCTTTTCAAGTCTACCATAGTAGAAGTTATATTAAAAAAACTGATATGATAAGTAACACTTGATCACCCTGTATCTTTTAAAAATACCTAATTAGGAAAAATATTTATTTAGATTTTCATCTTATTTTGACTTGCTTAATCTGCTCCTAAATTTATGCCACTAAGTTTAGGGACACCTTGTATACAGGGTCAGCGAAAAATCGCTTATTTTTAATAAAGCAAAAGCGTAAATTCATGATTTTGGCATAACACGTAAAAAAGATTTATCCCCATTTTTTTTAGATATTTCTACGTTTATCAGGTTACAAAATGGTATTCTTATTAACCTTTTATAAAAAAATTGATTTTTAATAAAAATAAATAAAATAACGCTTAGAGAATATTTAAAATGTTGTTTAATTTAGGCTTTTTAGTAGTTTCCATTCCTCTGCCAGAGTACACAATTGTACACCGATTTTTATAGATTGCAGTTTCTTGTTCGGGACCCTTTGGTAACTTTAAAATTTTAAAAAATATTTACCAAAATCCTAGCTGCTCCTTTTTCGAAATTTTTTAAAAATTCTTAATTTTTTTTAAATTTTTGTTTATCTTACCTTTGACAGAGTACACATTTGTTTTATAATATTGGAGTATATTGTTAACGAGACTTGGAAAATACTTTTTCATACTGAGCACATTAGATTTATACAGGGTTAGCCAAAAATCACTTTTTATATAGTAAAAAGCATAATGCACAAACAAGATTTATCTCCAAAAAATGTTATTTTATTTAATTCTATTCAAAAAGTCTTAATAAGAATCCCATTTTGTAGCCTGATAAAAATAAAAATATTTAAAAAAACATGGGTGGGTATATATCGTTTTTGCGTATTATGACAAAATCATGAAGTCACGCTTTTGCTTTATTAAAAGAAGCGATTTTTGTCTAACCCTGTATATATTAAATGTGCAGTATAAAAAAGTATTATTAAAATCTCCAATATTATAAAAATCGGTGTACAAATGTGTACTCTGTCAAAGGTAGACTTTACGATAAACAAAAATTTAAAAAAAAATCATGAATTTTCAAAAAATTTCGAAAAAAAGGAGCAGCTAGGATTTTGGTATCATTTTTAAGTCACCGAAGGGTCCCGAATAAGAAACTGCAATCAGTTTTTGGCGGCATTTTTATGTGACTTAAACTTCGTTCAGGCACACCGTGTTTGAAGCGCTTTAAAAGAGCTTTGAATGTTTTAATTAAAAACTGCGCATTTTAAAAGATTTGATATTAACATAATATCGCATAATATGTTATAAATTATATCAAAATTTGCTATTTCCTGTTTTCATATTTTTAAAATGAAATAAATGTATTATATTTTTTGTTACAGAAATTGAAATAAATCCAGAATCCAGAAATGACCGGGAAAAATTTTTAAAACCAAGAGTTAACAGAGAAAAGTTTTTTAAATGTGGCATTTGTCCCAAGTCATTTCAAACAAGGGGAGGTTTATTTAATCATAAAAAAATGTTTCATAAAAAAGACAATCAGGAGCAATTTAAATGTGGGGAATGTGATTATAAAACTTTAAGTGAAGGTAATTTTACTAGACATTTAAAAATTCACGATAAAAAAGAGATTTTACAATGCAATTTATGCGAATTTAAAACTTCTGAATTAATTAATTTAAATGGGCACATTTTAAATAGGCATAAATCAGAAACTAAAATTAAAGTAACAAGTAAAATGCATCAGTGTCCTAATTGTTCATATTCGACTGCCAAGAAATCACATTATGATGACCATACAAAAATATGTCAAGAATTGAAGAATGTCAAGTGGTATGAATGTCACGTTTGCAACTATAGAACTATTCAAAAAAGTTGTTTAATCAGACATATAAAAACGCATAATAAAGTTAAAGAATTGACATGTTTGTTTTGTCAATATCAATGTGATAAAAAATCTAGCTTGGACAACCATATCTTACTTCATCATTTACATCTGTTAAACGAATCCAATCAAAATGTAATCACTGCCAAAGTCCATCCTTGCGTTCATTGTAATTTTAAAACTACAATAAAAAGTCATTTAATACGCCATTTAAAGAATAATCATTTATATTAATTTTAAGTTAATTTTATTATTGTTAATAAATTATTACCATTTTTTTAATTTTTTTTTTTATTTTCTATGGAACAAACCCTGATAGAAAAATTTGATTTTAAGAATATTCTAAGAAGATATGACCCAGAATAATGGAATATTCTTAGAACCTTTCCTTATTGCTAAGAATGTTCTTAGGGACTTTTAAAACATTCAATAGATACCCTTTAATGATGCAATTAGATTCTTAAAAGCTTCTTAAAACCTTCCTAAAAAGCATCCTAAGAACATTTTAAGAATACGTTTTTGGAATGTTCTTAGAAGGTTTCTTATGGAGCTCCTAGGAAGCTTTTGAGAATATTTCCAAATATGTCAGATACCCACGTTCTAATATGTTGTATTCTACATTCCTAAAATTCTTCAGGAGACGACAAATACGCCTCACTGTCATAATATGACGGTGAAATGTATTTGTCGCCCCCTTACAAAATTTTGCGACATATTAATATATATTTATTTAAAAATATTAAATAAACAATTTGACCTCTAAACCATGAGTTGTATTACATTATTTCATAAAAAGTAAAATTGGAAAATTTTGTGGGATAAGTCAGATTAGATTGAAGTTAAAGATTGTTAGGATTATTATACATAAAAATGTTAATTCAGAAATAAAAAATCGGTATACAAATTAATAAATATTTATTTTTAACATAAAATAAAATACCTAAAGTAAAAGTATTTTTGTTATCGAATATTGTTTTAATTTGACAAATAACAAAAAATATTTTGGATTGTGTTTTTTACTTAGTATTTAATACTAATTACTAATTATATAGTACCTATAGGTACGTACAGGGCCGGATTTAGGCATGGGCCCGGGCCCAGGGCGGCAAATTTTTAGGGGCGGCAAACTTTGAAGGCCAGTTAAAATTTTGCTAAAAAATCAAGAGCGTTTTATGCAGAATTTATGTTTTCACTCAGATTTATACACTAATTAAAACTATAAAAAGTTGGAAGAGAAGTTTTTTAATACATTTCTGCGTAGTGCGTCACTGCGTAGACGTAACATTCTAAGCATATGTTTAGAGTAGACTAATTTTTACCACTAAAACTTTCCACCTTTTAAGAACCTGCCTATAGGCCAGTAAGAATATTCTTAGGATTATATGATCCTAAGACATAAAGCATATGCTATATGTCTTTTAAGCATGTTCTTTAGAATAAATATAGCATGATCCTAAGAATATTCTTACTGGAAGGTTTAAAAAACATTCTTAAAATAAAGTGTGCTATAGCACACTTTATTTTAAGAACTATAGTTATGTTAATACAGCACCGAATATTTTTTTTTGCGAATTATAATATATTATATGTATATATTATAATATCATTTAAATAAAATGTATCAAGTTTTATTTTTGTTATTGTCCTCATCCACATGTAATTTTTATCCCAACTTATTTTTAGGGACTGTACAAAGAATTAAATAAAAAAAGCACAGGTCTACCTTTTGGGAAGATTTTTTTTTGCTAGTACTTATTTCTTTATTTTCAATTTCACAGTCAATCCTACAAAAACATTTAATTTGCACATTTCTACAAAAAAAACAGGTACCCACAACAAATTTGTTATGTTAACATTATTTTTTATCAAAGAACAAAAAATATATGACCAAAAAACCTTCAAAAATGGATTGTCCAAAAAATAGTATATTTGTATATAATATTTTATTTGATATCTGACAGCTGTCAAGCAGTTTTAACCTCACTTTTTTACAATTATAAACTAAGCACGTGGGCAAAATGCTATTTTGCCAACTGGTTAAGAAATTAAATGGATGTTGAATAAAAATTATTTACACATTCAATTTGTTTTGCAATGTAGAGCCTTCATTTTGGATTTTATTTAAAATATATAGAAAAATATAGGATATGTCGAATCTTATTGTGGTGTTAAATATGTTTATCTACGCCAGTGAGATAAGAACTTCTTATCCCACTCATTTTGAGTGGGATAAGAAGTTTATTAACGCACCCGTTTTTCTTCAACCAATCAAATAAAAAAGTCAAAATGTCAAATTATATTTAAATTTAATGTAACATAACATACAGCTTAATTATTTATTATAAATATTAATAACACAATCTTTACAGTGTTCCAAATGAATTCCTGAAGTGGAGGCAAGTAAAGAGGAATGGCTTGAAACATTAATCGCGTGGTCATTTGTATTAACATCCGAATTTCTATGACTTTTTACTGTTAGTAAATCTGCACCCGAATCTGCCAGCAGGGACTTGGAGGACCGCCTTAAACAATGCCCAGTGTACTCTTCAGAGTGATCTAGTTTCAGATATAAGGCAATTTTCTTTGTCAGATTTCCAAAGGTATTGATGCCCACAGGATGTCTGATACATTTTCCTCGTTTATATTGAACAAAAAATCTGCGATGGTCAATAGAATTGGGTCGAAGAGCAATATAACTGCGAATAATTTCCACCATATTTATACCATCAATGTTTCCACATGTCACAAAAAAGTCTCTGGGTACTTTGGTTTTAGTGTTTGGCAAAAAAAAATGAAAACATGTACCTTCATCCTTTACATTATCTAGAAGTAAATATGTCAATTCTTCTCTCCTGCATGCACCAGCCAATCCAACAATTAAGGCCACCTTCATAAACAAAAATTGTTTATTATCCGCTTCTTCCAAAAACTTGGTTACATCCATTCTCGTTAAGACTCTTGACTTTTTTGCCCGATAGCCCTTATGATTTCTTTTCAGAAATGCAATTAAATTTGTGTGCTTACTTATATCAGCATTATGTTTTATGGAAATCATTGTACGGATCATAGAATAATACGCCCATAAAGATGAAGGCTTACAAACCTTGGATAAACTGCTAAAGTATGACAATAATACCTTCTCATTTGCGAAACTGCGAATCTCTTTTTCTGTACACCATTTTTCATATTTGGCATAGGCAATCTCGTATTTTGATTTAGATTTTTCCGGCAACAGATCGGAAATAGCTTTTAAAGCTTGTTCTTCAATATCAGATGGCAAACTGTCAGAATCACTCATTTTTATTAGAAAATTATTTTACTTGCGTCTATATCCCAAACCTATTCCCTGTCAAATGCGGAGTTTGTCAATGTCAAGTGTTTCTTTAACAAATTTCAAAGTAAAAAGTTATGCAGGTACACTGCATTGTGCCATACCAAACCAACCCAAACTTAACAACCCAACCCAACCGACCCCGCCCCATTGGGCCCCTCCCGCCCCATTGAGCAATAGAGGTATACTATATCTAAGGGCAAGCTGGATTGTGACAATGGGGCGGGAGGGGCCCAATGGGGCGGTGTCGGTTGGGTTGTTAAGTTTGGGTTAGTTTGGTATGGCACAATGCAGTGTACCTGCATAACCAAAATGACAGGGAATAGGTTTGGGATATAGACGCAAGTATTATTTTTGACTTATTGTTTATGACAATATTATCGTTGCTAAGAAAAACAAATGTGTCGCTAATCGACATGTAGGCAGTGGCAGAGAAAAATAACCCTAAATTAGGTCTTATAATAGAGTAATTGCATCAAAAATGAAAATCCCTAAAAACCTTTTTAATGTAATCTAGAGGTAAAAACACATTGCGAAAATATTTTTTTATATTCCAAAAGTTCAACCCGGCCCCAAAATATCAAATTGAAAAAAATGTAGGTACTTTTCAAACGTTCCCGAACTCCCGCCATATTGCATGACGTCATAAACCTACAGCAGTGTCAGAAATCAAGATGTCAACAAATAATAAACACCAATAAAGTTTATGTTTAACATGGAAAAGGCAAAAACAAAAATTGGTTGTAAATATTGTTTTCTGCCTTGTTGTACAAATTTGTCCCTTTAATTATCAAATGCAAAGTTTATGACCCTACACTGAGAGCCGTTACGGCTCAGCCCTATTTTCTTGAGTTTATTATTATTTAACATACCTATTCCAACCATATACCTAGTAATTAAACGACATTATATTTTACTTACATTAAAATCATAGAAAAATGATCCTCGCAGCAATAAAATGTTGACTGCGGTGACGATGTTTTGATATCGCGCCGAGCTATTTTAATCCACTTTATCCTTATTTTCCCTTTTGGCACGGTGATAAACCTTTTCCCAGGAGTTTTCCAGGTTGTATTTGTACAACAAGGCACAAAACAATATTTACAACCAATTTTTGTTTTCGCGTTTTCCATGTTAAACATAAACTTTATCGGTGTTTATTATTTGTTGACATCTTGATTTCTGACACTGGTGAAGGTTTATGACGTCATGCAATATGGCGGGAGTTCGGGAACGTTTGAAAAGTACCTTTTTTCAATTTGATATTTTGGGGCCGGGTTGAACTTTTGGAATATAAAAAAATATTTTCGCAATGTGTTTTTACCTCTAGATTACATTAAAAAGGTTTTTAGGGATTTTCATTTTTGATGCAATTACCGTTTATTTTTTTATTTAGAGGCGTAGATAAAAATTTGTACAATATACGTGTGATAACGCTTAATTAACGTACTTTTGCGCACTACGCACTCGTTGGGCAAATTTCGCATGCGTACGTTAATAATGCTCTTATCCCACTTATATCGTAAATAACTATTATCTATTAAGGTTAAAACTGTCACTTGTTGCATGTTTTAACAGGTCAACTAAAAACTCGTGTAATACAGCTGTATTCTACAGTGTTCTTGAGGTCAACTGTCAAAAAACTATTGCCAGGGTGGTGGTGCCATAAATGGCAACAATGCTTACCCCTGGTCAAGCAATATTTCGTCTTTGGCTTCAAGTTTCAGTTTGACTTGCTCAGCTTCATCAAAATCGTGTTCTTCATCTGTGGAAGATTCTGATTCTTCCTTTACCCCTGATTCATCGTAGTTGATGGAGTTGTCGCTATCATTCAATTCTTCTTTGATTTCTTGTTTTATTGCAATCCCAGAGGTTGAAGGCATTTCTTGGTTGACAGAGGTACTGGGTCCATTGTAATTCATCAAAATAACACCTTTGGAATCGTCGACTAGTTCTTCAGATTCAGTTTTAACGACTGTTTGCTCCATTGTGTATGGAAACTACCACTTATATTTAATGAGCAAAGACTATAAAATACTTTGGCAAATTTAAAACTCAGATTATAAAGAAATTATATTATTTTTCTATGCTTATAGCCAAGGATACATTTGACCAGGGGTGTTTCTGACAATTTGCAAATTGTGCAGCCATCTAGCGTGAAATTGTACTAAATAACATCAAATTGTACTAACTTACCGCGAAAATTTAAAAAATTTCGAAATTTAAGCAACATCATATTTCCCCTTCCCGTTGCATACGTAAAATTGTAATAAAGTACTTAACTACTAAACATAAAATTAAATTTATTGAAATTTTCAATTAAAAAAACAAACAAAAAATTAACATCACAACATAACCGTTGATCAATCAAAGATATAATTAACACTAACAATAATTATTACTTATTCTAATCAAACATACTAAGTAAGTGAAACAAACGATGACGTGGACAGCCTCTCACAGTAAAGCCTGATTTATAGATTGCCTTCCTTCCTTCCTCCTGTAAAAAACCGTTGTGGTTTATAGATTTCCGTACGGGAATGTATAAATGGCACTACGATTTTCGTATTGTTCATCTTAAGGGAGGAAGGAAGAAAGGCAATCTATAAATCAGGCTAAAGAATTTTTGATTCAGAATTTGACACATTTGATTATGTTGGTACCATTGTAAAAAAAACTAGACATTCTAGAACCTGGCGGGCTATCCTCGACTTCACTCGCATTGCTCGTATGCGAACCAAAAACGAGTGGTTTATTTGCGAATAGTTTTATGAAATGGTATTCTTGACAACCGTTCGCAAACAAAAGCGTACACGATAAAATTAAGCGAGTGATAGATCTGACAACGCAGCATTTACTAGAGTGTTTTTGGTATTTTTATTTTTTTGTATTGGTATTACCTTGAAGTTTGTGTAAATTTGAAATTTGTGTTTGTTACCAATATTTTGTTTTGTGTGAAAATATTAATTATTAAATAAAGAAATGGAAAGAAAAGGAAACATTACAGAAAATCAAAAAAAGATAATCATTGAGTATATGTAGATTTCCAAACGATTTATTAGGTATTGAGTTAATTCTTTCGTCAAACGAAATACTTTAATAAAATGTAAGTCCGTTAAGTCTTCGAATGGATCTATTCGCTGCCTATAACGACGTCTTTGCCTTGCCTCCACATTTTCTAACACATTTATTAAAATTATCTGAATTAATTCATCCATATTCACAATGGAAGGTTATGTGACATAACTTATGTCAAAAGTTTGAATAAAACGAACACTTATCGACGAAAACGAATACAAATTCCGCTCGCTGTAAATCATTCGCTTTTAATGCGCATACGCAGCATGTGCGGGTGGCCAAGAATAAGAAACTAGATATTCGAACGCTAAAGCGTATGCGATTTTCAAACTCACTTGTCAAGGATAGCACCCCTGTGACAGTCTGTAATTGGGGTAATGACCTTTAGACTTGACGTTTGAAACATTGCGCCACATTCACTACGTTTAACGTAGTACGTTACCAACAGTAAAAAAAAATCTGTTGCTGGAAATTGTCATTTTCGTTTTATTTTTTTTTAATTGAAGGCAATTTTTTAAATTGTACTAGAATTGCCAAAGAGGTGCTGACGTACTAGAAGCTATTTTTTTGTACTAGAAAAGTACAATTGTACTAAAAATCACACCCCTGCATTTGACAGGATAGCCCAGTCACTGGGCCCCAGTGTTGCCACCCACAAATTTTTTTTCGGTAGATAACGGTCAAAATTTTGTATAAATACAATGTGAATTTAAAGTTTTTTGGGAAATATTAATTTATTTATTTATTTTCAATTTTATTTTTTTGTTTTTATACCTACATATCAATCAATTAATATTTCCCAAAAAATACAAACTTTAAATTCACATTGTATTTATACAGAATTTTGACCGTTATCTATATATATACCAAAAAAAAATTTTGGGGGTGTCAACACTGGGGCCCAGTGACTGGGCTATCCTGTCAGATGTATCCTTGGCTATAAGCATAGAAAAAGAATATAATTTGTTTATAATCTGTTATATAGGTAATCTGAGTTTTAAATTTGCCAAAGTATTTTATAATTAAGTCTTCTTTGCTCATTAAATATAAGTGGTTGACTAGTAGGTAGCAAGATACATACCTAGTAGGTAGGAATTAGGTATTATTATTTTGTTTTGTTCAAAGAAGAGTTCTTTGGTTTTGTTGTAGGTACTCTTGACCTTCTAAAAAGAGCATCTACCACTATTAATATTAATTTATTTGCTACAGGCCGTGCACATAGCATATTCTTTTCCTTTTGTACTTTTTTTTAACCAACCTTTAATTTAAATTAAAGAATTATTCCCATTCTTTTTTGTATAATTGATATTTTCTTTTCTTTATTTTTGGAGTTTTAACTGGTAGGTACTCATTTCTACACTTTTATCTGTGACTTTTATAAATCGCTTATTAGAATAAGATACAAACTAAACCAAAATAATAAACTTAATAATAAATATAATAATATATCATATGCTCTATTGAATGACTGGGACAAGAGATAAAGGACTGGGACTTCCCCTAATACTTAATGGAAAACAAGAACATCTTCGATTCGATGCTGCTCGCATTGTTGCCAGGTGAAGAAAATGAAATTAACCAGAAATTGGAAATTTATTCGCACGATTATTTTTACACTTTTTTTTTGCTTAAAATTATTAAATTAAAATGTACCAAATAATAAAAATCGGTAGAAAATAAGGTATTTTCGGTAGATGGACTGGAAAATTGGATGGACTGGAAAATTTTGTACATGTGGCAATACTGGGATGGCCAACTACGTTGGCCGCAGAGTTGCCAACCATAGAGTTGTTTCTCTATGTTACCAACTTTTCAAATTCCATTTACCATACCGCGCAATTTATTCAAGGCCAGATAAATTTAGTAAAAGAAATAATAAAAATTATAAATGGTATAAAACCGGTAATTCTTGAATTTTTTTAATAAAATTTGAAATTTGTCGATAAACTTCAGTGAATTAAATATTGTACCACTTTAATTTGAATTATATATATTAATTTGGAGGGGCAGGAGGCTGCAGCCTCCTGCCCCATGGGGGTTGCACTTAAAAACTAACTTTTTTTCTCAAACTTTAATTTAAATTCTGCTTGCGCAGAACTTGTCTATATAATGTCATTATAAACTCATATAAATTTGATGTGGGTCCCATGTCTAATAACTGAGATATGGGTGTGCCCAAAATCCACCAGCCGCCACTGCTTTCAGGTCATAATAAAGATTCCACCATCCAATTCCATTTTATGCGTTTTATTTAGAATTAAAAAAAAGGTCTAAATGAATCCCCCTTTATATAGCGCGCCTTTAAAATAAAATGTAATAAAAAAATGACAACATTAATTTTGTTTTTGCAAGTTTGTACCGCTATTTATGCATCTTTAATTTTGCGATGATTTTTTAATAATTTAATAATAATTTTTTACCTTATTTGACTAGACTAAGTTGACATTTTTTGTATAAATAAAATAAACATTTAAATTATTCTTTTATTTTTGTATGAGATTTTATATGCCTTTTTAAATGACTTTTTTGAAGAGTTTTATAATCGCAATGGTGACAGTTATACCATTTGACATTTTCCAACTTCAAACAAACTTTAATATGCTGATCATAACTTGATTTTTTAACAGTTGAATATAAACACTTGGCGCACTCATGGATTTTACTTGTTATTTTTATTTTTTCTTCTTTATTTTCTATTTTATGTTTACTTAAAACATGCGCATTTAAAGTCTTTAACTCAGCAGCCGTGTAGTCACAAAAATGACACTTTATATAATTCTTCTTGCCGTGAGTGTTTAAATGTATTTTAAAATTATCCTTTCTTACAGTGACGTAGTCGCAGATGTTGCATTTAAATTTTTCCAGTTCGTCTTTCTTATGATAATACTTTTCATGTTTTAATAAACTATTCTTTGTGTGATATTTCTTAGGACAAATATCACATTTAAAAAACTTTTCTTCACCCACTCTGGCTCCTGGTTTTAAAGACTGTAGCTGGCGACTTTCTGTAAAAAAAAATGGTTAATATTAGGGTGCTTCAAAACAAACGATATCGTTTTTGCTCCAATCCCAACTATAAATTTCACAATTTAAAGAGGTTTAAGGTTTATAACTTTTTTCTTAAGCCCTTTGACCAAATAATTTGCAAATCGGTAAACTTTATTTTTAGAGGTATAGCCTTGATACCCTAATACTGCCCTACTATGGAGAAAGGCAGTAACTGCTAAACAAGAAATTTGTGGAAAATTAGCATAAACTAGATTTTTATAAAAAGCAGTAGGTATTTAATTGATTTTTTTAACTTATGAGATATTTGACAGCATTTCTTTGTTGAATTCCGTCACAAAATGTCCATAGCTTTACCATAGCACAAGAAAACGCATTTTGCATTTTTTTGCAGTTACTGCCTACCTCCATAGTAGGGCAGAATAGCAAAATTTGATTTTAAGAATCTTCTAAGAAGATATGACCCGAAATAATGGAATATTCTTAGAACCTTCCCGTATTGCTAAGAATGTACTTAGGGACTTTTAAAACATTCAATAGATACCCTTTTAATGATTCAATTAGATTCTTAAAAGCTTCTGAAAACCTTTCTAAAAAGCATCCTAAGAACATTTTAAGAATACATTTTTGGAATGCCCTTGCGGCCTTGAGTTTACGGTTTATTCACCGTGAATTCACCGTAAATTCACGGTGAATTCACCGTGAATAAACCGTCTGTTTGTGACATTTGTAAACGGTAGTTAGACGGTGAATTCACGCACTTTTCACAGTATTTTAATTGTGAATCCACCGTATTTTGGCGGTATATTCACGGTGAATTCACGGTCAAATCACCGTGAATTTACCGTGAAATCACCGTGAATTAACCGTGAAATTACCGTGAATTTATCGCAAAAACAGCGTGAGTTCACCGTTTAATTACCGTCTACAAATGTCACAAATGGACGGTATATTCACTGCACATAAACGGTGTATTCACGGTGAATTCACCGTAAACTCAAGGCCGCAAGGGTGTTC